ACGCACAAGTGCAACCTCATCCTGGCAATGGGCCGCATCTGCCTGGGGGACCACCTCCCGCAGGACTGCCCGGGTTGACTAGGGGCGCTGACCCCTACCCCCCGGGAGGCCTCAGGTGCCGAGGGCCCTGATAGGGGCGAGAAGGGGTGCAAACGCCCCAAGCAGGCACAGAAGCCCCCTCCTGCAGGTGCCGAGGGCCCTGACACAGGGGGGGGACAGGCCAGTTGGCGGCCATCCTCGGCAGAACAAGGATGGGGACGGCAGAACCAGCGTGCACAACGCCCTCGCCGTGACCAGCACAGCCATACAACCGGCACAACGGCGGCGCCTCAGTCCCGAGCCACAGGTGCCGAGGGCCCTGATAGGGCGGGGGCGGGACGGTTCCCCGCAGGTGCCGAGGGCCCTGACACGGGGGGCCGCACCCAGAAGGCCCGAGTGCCGGATGTCTGGCAGCACACCGCAACGCCAAGGGACACTCCCAGGAGGCAGCCGATCCCACTTCCGGCGCCCAACATCATCAAGCAGGGCCCGGTGGTTTTCCACAAGAGCTCGGTGGGGCTGAATGAAGGGGGCCAACGCCTTTCAGCTACCCCCCTGACAAGTCCGACGGAGCCGTCACCGGGATTGGACATCTTCCCGTGGATGGAGAACATCCCTGAGCGTCTGGTACAGCGGTTGAGATGGACACAGGGCACATCGCCCAAAGTTCCATCCAGTGGGCCCATCATTGTCTTGCTCTATGCAGGCAAGGAGGACCCTACTTCCTTGGACAGCTGTCTTCATGCCAACTACCCACACCTTTCCAGCATGGTGGTGGCGGTAGACATCCTACGGTCTGGACCCAAGGGGGACCACGACATGCTCCAACCCGAGCTGTATGGAGCTCTTTGCACGGCAGCAAAGCAGGGCCGAGTGGTCTTCATTGGAGGAGGACCCAACTGCAGGACATGGTCCATCCTGCGCCACATACCAAAACCGGGGGCTCCCACCCCGGTACGAGGGCGCACTCCGGAGACACTCTGGGGCCTTCCACACCTGGACCAGGCCGCCCAGACTCAACTTGATGATGACAGCATCCTCATTCTGAGACAGATGTACATCACCAGCCTGGCAAGGGCCTCACGAGCGGCGGTTTCTCTGCCAGGGCCCAGGTCCTTCCTGGAACACCCGGAGGACCCAGTGGTGAGCAGCTCGCTGCCCAAAGCCAAGGAATGCTCATCCTTCTGGATCACAGAGGAGGGGCAGCTTTGGATGGAGGAGAACTCCTTGACAGCAATCTCCTTCGACCAGTGCCGCCTGGGCCAGCTGGTCAAGAAGGCCACTACGCTGGCCACGGATCTCCCGATCCAGGACTGGGATCAAATGCGGTGCACGCATCAGTCACATGTGGGCACCAACGAGTCCTCGACTCTTAGCAGATACCCTTGGGATATGATGGCAGGCCTGGCCAAAGCCATCGCTGTGTCACTCGCAGCGCCGGGGCACATCCGGATCCCCTCACAATTTCCGGGAAACCCCAAGGGACCACCTAAGGGGCGGGGGTCGGACCCCCCGGAAGGCCATTCCCCCCGGGGAAAACGGGGGCCCAGTCAAGGAGGCGGTCCCTCCTCATCACACCAGGGCTCAAAGCCCGGAGGCAAGAACGCCCCGAAGCCCCGCCTGCACGGGCAGTTCCACCCTGAGGCAGACACCGTAAGCCCTCGTGGAACAATGAACCCAGACTTCCCATCTCCCATGCCCCCGATGGCCGGAGATGCGGAACAACTGGGGAAGGAGGGACAGGGGGACCAGGTCCTGGACCGCCCCGAATGCCTGCCCGCTTTCAGGGTCCCACACCTCACTGACCGGGTGGCGATTGTCCAATTGGGTTTCCGCTCACGCCCCCTGAGGGATGGGGGGGGAAAACCTTCCCCAGGGAGGCTCAACCCCCCTTTTCGGAGAATTTCCCCATTGGCTACTTTGGGCGCCTTGATCATGACCCTTACCCGTCCCTGGATTGACAAGGTCCGAATGTCCCTGGCATCAGGTGCCACCACACACCCCTTCCAGGAAGCCGACCTCGAGGAGCTGCGGGCTATCCTAGGACCGAGGCACCTCCATGAACGATGCCCAGGACAGCCCTTCCTCCTGGACTTAGTGTCGCACTTGGCATCCCTTTCAGGTGACCCTGATTGGGAATTCCCCCTAACACTGAAAGAGGGGGTCCCCTTGGGAGTCTCGGACCCCACCTTGACCTCCCCGGGAGTTTGGCCCACTAAGGAGGAGCTTAAGGGAGAAGCCTGGCTGGGGGAAGATCCCCCCCCGCCAGTGGCTCATGATAACTACCCAACGGCTGAACTCTTTGCCAAGGAAATCGAATCAACCTTTTACGAGGAACGAGCCTTGGACATGGTGGACGGGCCCTTCACTCGCTCCGAGGCGGCAGAGAGGTGCCGCTGCAAACCGGAGGAACTTTGCCCGGGCCCCCTTGCAGGGATTGATGAGTCGGACAAGATCAGGACGATCTATGATGGCTCAAAAGGGGGAGCAAACGCACACATCCAGGCTCACACGGAGGAGAAGACCACCGCACCGATGGTTGGAGACTGCCTCCATGCCATCCACTGGCTCAGGACAGCGGCGGACCATCCTCATCTACTCCGAGCCCCATCCTCGGGCACTGATGAGGAACCTCGGGATGTTCACCAGCCGGTGCAGGGGCAGTCCCCAGGTGCCGAGGGCCCTGAGAGGGACCCCCACAGCACCAGCCTGCCCCCAGGTGCCGAGGGCCCTGATAGGGGCAGGCGGATGATGGAGACCTCCGGCGGCCTGGACGTCTCTCCGCGGTCAACACCCTCAGGGAAGGGGCCACTCCCAGGTGCCGAGGGCCCTGATAGGAGGGCCCCATTCCCCCCAACCCCCCCAGGCACGGAACGCCCTGGGGGGAGCAGGGGGGAACCCCTGACGTGGCAGCCGCCGACACAGGGGGAAACCTTCATCATCCTCAAGGCGGATGTCACCAAGGCCCACAGGCGCATAAAAGTGCTCCAGAAAGACTGGAAATACCAGGTGGCCTGCATCCAGAACCGGTGGTGGGTCAATAGAGTGGGCACGTACGGCATGGCCTCGGCACAACTGTACTGGGGAAGAAAGGCATCCTTGGTGCTCAGACTCTTGTACTACATCTTCCCTCAGGTGGACTGGCACTTAGTTTTTGTGGACGACTACTGCTGGGTCCTCAGATGCAGCAGGGCGGACTGGGACGCCACAGCCATCCTGGCCACTCTTCTGGCGCTGGGAGTCCCGCTTTCTTGGAAGAAGACGGCGCTCTCCCCGGTCAATACCTGGTTGGGATTCGTGGTGGACCCAATCACGCCCTGTGTGCTGCTGGCTCCAGTCAAGCACGTCATAATCCTGGCCACTCTCAAACGGCTGGCCCAGGGGGACATCTTTACCAGCAAGGAGGTGGAACAAGCCCTGGGCCGGATTCAATGGGCTACTTCGGCGTGTCCATTGACGAAACCTTTCCTCCAGCCCTTTTGGAGCTGGAAGAAGGCCTGCACCACTTCGGGCAGGCCACCGAAGCTGGTTCGTGCTCTGGCCATCCTTCTGGGGAAGCTCTTCAACCAGAGGTTCCCACTGGCATCTCCATTTGCTCCCACACTTCCATGGACGGGGGCATCTGATGCGGGAGCTGGCAAACAGGCGGACCATGCATGGGTTGGTGGTTGGTGCTCGGACGTGCCCAACCCCGACAAGTCCCGAGTGAAGTGGTTCCAACACAGAATCACACCGGAGGGCGAGCCGTGGGCCTTCACTACTGGGGACCCGCAGCGGGCGATAGCGGCCTTGGAGCTCTTCGGCCTCCTCCTTTTGGTGAGGGCTGCTCTGCTTTGTGCAGCCGGCTCGGCTTCTCACACTAGGATTCTGGTTGCTAGTGATAACCAGGGAAACGTTTTCTCCCTGCTTAACGATTCCACTCGCAGGATGCCCAATGCGGCCATCCTCATGGAAATTGTGTTAACACTGCATGACCACCAGGTCATGTTAGGACCGTCGCATGTGAAGCGCGACTTTAACACATGGGCGGATGAACTTACTCATCCGGACCCGCAATTTCCGACTGAGAACCGGGTCTTCCCCTCAGTCGAAAGCGAATTGATCAAGCTGATCTTCGCTACTTTCCTTCCTCACCCATGATGCCGGGAGGGCATCCGGCGAGGTGGGAGGATTCCTCCCTCGCTGTGGGAGTGGCATCAATCCTACTCCCATCAGCTGCTGAGGGGAGCTGCCCAGTGGAACTGGGCAATCCTCCCATTTTGGCACTAACCCTTATGCGGCAATAAAGGAGGCACCGTTTTGCGAATAAGGCCTCAGTAGCACCTGAGTGGTGCTTCAAAGAGTCACGGTTTTCTCCCTAGGGTTTGGATTTGAATCCTTTCCCCCCTCCAGCGGGGTCTACGCTTTAGACTCCCAAAAGGCAAACACCAAGTGCGCAGCAGTACATGTTTTATGATTTTCGGAGCACCTACATGCGGAGCTTAGATAAACCTCCAAAGTAGACCAAATACACAAGATGAGCTATATGGATATTTATGTGTATATATATATATATGGATATATATATATATATATATGTGTTTGAATGTCAAAGTAGGGCAAGCTCCAAGATGTATACAAGGCACACCCATATTGTACCATCACCTGACGGCTGGCTTCAAGAAAAACCAATTGCTAAAATCTATTCGAGGGCAGACATCCCATGCAAGCGCAAGTCGTGCCTACATGTATTATATATATATATATATATATGTATACACATACTATATGCACAATAAATGACTCTATGTGTATATGCTGTATATATATATATATATATATATATTCAAGTAGAAACTACAATATGCAGATATACACATGTGAATATATATATATATATGTATAGTAAGTGCCGAATATGGGATTTTTCTCACCCAGCCTTCGCGTTGCTTGAACCCAGCCCCCAGCTCTCGCATTCGCAGGCGAATGCGAGGCGCTGCGCCAGCCCGGCGCTCGGACCCGTTTCTCGCATGGTTTTGGGACCTGCGCCGTTGGGACCAGCAGGCGGTTCCATGAGAGCTCCCGCACGGAACACGTTTTTTTCTTTTTCTTTAAAATCTCCGGTACATGAATATGGCCATGGGGCAGAACCTATGGCGAGCCATTTTGGGGTGTATGAACATCTATTTGCCACCTATTTTGATGTTCACCAGGGGGGCAGGGTTTTGACCCACAGCCATATCAGTCCTCATAAGGAAATAGGATTATAGCTCCAGAAAACCAGAGCTGTATAATATGAGCATTACATTGCATGGACATGGTCCATTTACAAAGGCCAATTGGGGGCAGCTTCCGGCCAGGTTCAGGGAGTGTTTCCAGCCCCGACCCTGTGGGACATTCATGCGCTTTGGGGGGACCCAACACTTCAGGTGGGATTTTAACTTTTTGCCAACTAATGGGTTTTCCAGCAAACCACTAAAAGTTAAACTTTTAGCACAGAAAGCAACCGAGTGAAAGAAGATACCTTTTGGTTGGAAGAAGCGTCTTCCTCGCCCTTCTGGAAAGAGTCGCACGTTACTGTAAATTGGCGCAGCGAGGCAGCCCTTGGACCTGTCTCGGGGAGAATTAAGTGACCTTAAAAAAAAAGGAAAAAGTTTCCACTCTAGAGCGACCCCCTATCATTTTTATTGGGGGCCCAGTCCCCAAATGAGGTTATGAATGCGGGCGTTTCTCCTGTAGTCTTCTTTTGGCGGGCTTTTGAGACACACAAGCTCGATCCATCTGGACACGTGTGCAAGGGCTCTTCTATGGAGATCACCATGAGCTAGAACTCATCGTGAGTCCTAAATTCATCGATTTCCACCCTGAGTGGAACCCAACAAAGTGCACCATGGCTCATGCGACGTCTCACAGTCGAGGAGAGTAGCCACAGCACAAGCCGAACGGAGCCCATACACGAACCCTTGGTGTAAACTTGGCTTCATGAGCCATGGGCCATCAGCGGCTTGATTGTAAGCCAAGCACCCATGAGGTGCCCTTTCAACGCAATCCTGTTTGTGTCCTCTGGACCCCAAAAAGTAACTTGCAAATTAAACAGTGAATCGGACAAGTACTATCAATTGCGAGCTTCCAACATGGCAGCGGGGCTTCAACCGCAACCTCTGAGGCATTGGAAAGTTGGCTTGGCGGGCCATTTTCTGTTATAAAGAGCTGCAATCGCCCTGGTTGGTTGGCCTACTGGAATCACATGAGCAAATCTCCACAACCACAGCCTCGGTGATGTCGGGGTCCGTGCGCCGATCGGTTTCAGGCAGTTGATGGAGAAGCTGCGAAGCAAGCGGGTTGCTCAGAGGGTGTTGGGTCCGATTTCTCAAAATCATCTGCCACAAAGGGGATCGGTCTGGATATCCAGAGAGGTCCTGGGTGTGAGTTTGTTTGGGTGCACCCAAAATGTGGAAGCAACCATGAAAGCTGACGTCTAACAGGGTTTTGGGAAGCTATGGGTGAGGACCGATCCTCCGCTTCCTTGTTGGCAAAAAGGAGGCGTGGCAAATGCCGTCTTAGGAAAGAAGCACGACGAGAAGGATCTCTGCAGCTGTTGCCATGCAGCACACAAACAGCAGAATGGCGCCATCTATTGCTCGTAATTGTTCGTAGTTTGTCCATCTCAAGCCGCACGCCATGAACTATTAAAAAAATAAGGGAGGTGCAAGAGCAATATTTGATCCAAGATCAAATGCTTTTCGGAAGTTAGGGTTTGGACAATCCAAGCTTGGAGGAGGCAATAGCTCTAATCCTTCCACGCATACCGTGGGTTGGTATTCATTTGACGGGTTTTGCCTGTGATTCAAGAGAGACCTCCTTTTCTCATGTCGCTTTGTCTCAAACTTCCCCTTCCCGAAGAAAAAAAGAAAAAGAAAAGAAAGGCGCTTGGCAGCTCAACCTGGGCCTGAGATCCGGAGAGCAAGGCTCAGCTAGTGGAGAAGTTGGATGGTGGATGGTTGCATCCAACTGAATTAATCTTCAGGAAAGGACAAGTGTACTATTTAAGCCTCTGTCCAACAATCATGAAAGTGGACAGTGGGGTCCCCACAAAGGAAAGTTAGACTTCCAAACCTCCCCTGTCAGCTTCCATGATTGTTGGAGCGAGTCTGCTGGAAGTTTACCCTCAGACCATGGATGTTGCTCACCATTCACCAAGGTCCCATGTCAGCTTCCACCCCTGGCTTTAAAGTTGGAACCTTTCACCTTTCGCATTTTTCTTTCCCCAGGGGGGCGAAAGAGGAAAAAGGAGCACGGAAGTCGGGGGGCGATGAACACCCGCCCGCCTATTTGTTTTTTCCTCATCGGCCTCGCTTAGGAAGCGGAAGCACCGGGAAGATCCGATCCCCGAGGCGGGGGTGGTTGGCCCGTTTCCCCGGCCGGCTCGGATGCGCGGGGGCCGCGGCGGTGGCGTTTTTTTTTTTTTGGAGTTTTAAATATAATCACAAGTACGAGGCAAACCGTCCAAAGATGTCCCCCGCGTTCCTTTTTGGTGAAACAAGTCATGTTTGTCCCGGCTCAGATGAGGGATGGACCGTATGTTCCATATCGTGCACCTACGTGATCTTTTTCGAAAGGTGAGGCTTCCTTTCCTCCAAAAGAAGTCCCCCTTGACCAATGACTGGGGATTATTCGGGGTGTGCTTTTTGAGTGTACCCGTTTTGGAGCTGGTCTTAAAGTGAGACCCAAAGGAACCATTTTTGGGGGTCCCCCCATACATCAGTGCTCAGCTTTGCTAAGGAGCCATCGCAGTGGACTTTGGTGAGGTTTGACCCCCGCATTTCCTCATGACGATTCTGGTGAGCTTTCCAAAGAGCCTCAATCAAACAAATCCTCCAAAATAAGATTCTGACAATGAGCGGTATGTCGATTTTTGTTCGCACTTCAGTTTTTGTTCTTTCTCATTTTTGGACGAGTCACCACAGCTAGGTCCCCAGTAGTGCCTTTCTACCTTTTTTAGGGGGAGGGTTCCCCTACTAAAATAGACCACAGAGAAAAGTTGGTACCCTTATTCTAACCTCTACTGGAGGACCTAGTGGTTCACTTTTGGACGAGTCACAACACTATCCATTTTTATTGGGCATCGTAGGTTCGGACAGGACGGCGCGGCGGCTGCGGCGGAAGCGGATGACGCGGCCGCGATGGCGGTGCTCGAGGTTGAGGCTGGAAGGAGGCGATGTGCGGTGAAGAAAAAAATAGGGCCGTGAGGTTTAGGGCGGGGACCACCTCAAATGCGGTTGGACAACACTCCGCAAGGGGGACCACCTCAAATGCGGTTGGACAACACTCCCCAAGGAAATGATGCCCACCAAAATAGAATCGTAATGAAAGCATCACACTGCTTATCATGGGAAAGACCTCGACACTCCAAGAAGGGCCATCCGCTGTTTCTGGGAGAAGCCAGAAGATCAGAGGCTTGAATCGGTGGATTTGATCATCCTTTGGTAAGCATGGACCCTGGGATGTTTTAAGTTGGTGGCCAAACGGAGCCGTTTGTATGTTTGCCTTTCTTCTTGTGCCTCCATCGTCCCGCGCGGTCTTTGCCTCGTTACGTATGCATTTGCCGGGCGGGTTTGTAGATGGGTGTGGCCCCCAAGCCAAAAACTCGACTGGACATGGCGGGCTGTTTGTGCCAAAGACAGTCCCCCAAAGCAACCCGCCAGCCAGGACGACGCAGAGCGGCGCCAAGCATACCTGAAGCTGAGCGACGACCAGAGGCAGGGTTTGTAAACCAATCGCCCTTTGGGAGCTTGAAGCGATCGCCTCAGGCCGTATCGGTAATTTGTCCCAGTTGCCCAGTGGATTCCGCCTTTTTGTTCCTTCTTTTTGGGAGGGTTCCCCTTTAAGCCCAGCCAACCAAACAAGGATGCCCTTTTTTTTCCCATGGCCACTGGGCATCTGAGTTTGTTGTCTATTTGTCCATGAGTGAAGCCGGCCTTTGGGTCAAGGACTTATCCAGGCAGTAAAAAGTATGTATTAGATACCCTGGAGAGCACGATGTTAACAGGGGTTTTCGCGGTTGACTCGGGAGGAGGCTTGATTTAGCTAGCGTTCAACCGAATTGAAAAGGCTGCGAATTGGGAGGGTCCACCCAAAGGGTCCCGATTGCTTCAAGAGTGTTCAAGTTCAAAAGGGCAGCTCGCAACTGTTTTGCCAAGGAATCCTCGGCAAAACACCGGCTTTTTAGAGCTTGGGGCACGAGATCAAACTCTTTCGCGTGGCCCGCGTAATTTTTCAAGGCGACATTGCTTCAAATATCCGCTCCGCGGCAGCTCAAGCATGTGTCTCACACTGTCTGTGCTTTGATCGCGCCGTGCCGCCATCTGGGTAGCTCCAAAACGCTTTACGCTGTCTTCACGCGCTCTGCGAGTGCCGCCATTCCCAATGGGCACGCGCAGTCAAATTAGACTTTGCCAGCTGCTGCACAGCCTTCTGGTGATGCCAGCAGACAGTTTTCTTCTTCGTCAGTGGTGCTGATCCGCTTCCTCGCCAGAAGCTTGGCAGTACACCAAGCTTTGCCAGTCGCAAAACAGGTCTGTGCGTGCTTTCTAATTGCAAAGCCTCCTCTGCCGCCTTGCACTGCTGATGCCCGGAACATCCCGAAACTAAAGCTGCAAATCGTCTCTGATGTGCGTCGTCACTTGGGCCGTCGCTGTGGACGGTGATGTTATCATTCCTCCCCCAGCCCCGCAGCCCCACCAGCCCCCCCAGCCCCCCCAAACCTCCTGGCCCCCCACCTCGCAGAGAAGCCTTCGACCTGTCCTGTCCATGGCAGGCTGCACGGGCTCCGGAAAAACGGACTCGCCCAAATTCCCGCGCTGGGGCATGTGGCGGGCTTCGGGTGCCTGCCTCGCTCTGGCGCAGGCTCGCAGCCCTCAAGCGTGGGGCATCCAAGGTGCGGACCCTGGATTCGACTTTGGGATCTTCGGGACCTTCATATCTTCGAGGAGGTTGCTTGATATTTCACAGGGTTCCTAGAAGGATTTCCTGAGCTTGGGTTCTGTGTGCGCATGGCACCTTCTCGGAAGATGAGGATCCCTCTGCTGGAGAAACAATACAGGAGACGGGGGCGCTCCGTTTTCTCAAAGGGGGCAAGGGCAAACTGCTGAACTCAAAATCCGAAGTGTGTTTGGTTGCAATGGTTCATCATTTGAGAGCTCGGAAAAATAATCCCTTGCCCCCTAATGCTAAACGGCCCCGCCTCCCCCCCTCCCTACTAAGTGGGTCCCCCGCGAAAATTCGGCAAAAATTAGGGCCCCCCTGTTCCCTCAGCTCCGGCTCGAAAGTTGCAACTTTGTAGTAGAGCCGTAGTAAAGAAAGCTTACTCCCAGAGCTCCGGCTCGACGTCTTCGCCCACCAAAGCAATGCAATATGCGATAATAATCTGATACGGACATGGCGCCTCCATTTCTGGCCCCCTGATTCCCTTTCAGGCATGTGCCTCTGGATGTTTGCTTGCACTGACCTTCCCTAAGCAAACAAGGACTTTGGCTTCTTTTGGCCTTGTTTTCTCTCTCTTGGGCTTATGACGTGGTAACCAAGAAAGAATCGCCCTTTTAAAAACCCAAAAGAAAACTGGCGAAGGGTTGCCACTGGCAAAACTGGTTCCCACTGGTTACCTATATGGGTATCGGTATGGGTCAAAATGAAACAAGCAGAACAACGCAGATTTGTAGCTCTGGTTTCCTTTTACCAGGGCAAGCTATTTTGGGGTTACCAATTCTATTTTTGACCCCACACGCCCGCGACAGCGAAACGTGTGGTCGCGAAAGCTTCCCGCGAAAGCTTGAAACCGAACGCGGTTTGTGAGAGGGTTTTATGCATGGCTTGTTTTTTTTGGCACCGCTCATAAGGGTTTGGATTTTACTTTGACCCCATCTTTTCCATTGACACCCACGCCCACGCCCACGCCCTATGTTTGACCCACGCCCACATGGCTTTGGAGCTGGGAGCTGCGCAGGTGCTGGCCTGGGATCGCGCGGCGCTGGCGCGCCTGGCGCTGACCCAGGAGCCCGGCGGCTCAGCTCCGCTGGCGCCTGCGAGGGGCCAGAAAAAAAAGTCCTCGAGACTGAGGAGGACTCGGTCCGCGTTTTTTTCAGGACTCGGACCCCCCTCCCCGGTGGTTTTCCTTTTGGCGTCCTTGCGAAAAACCACGCGCTTAAGGGGCCAGAAGTGTCCGGTCTCCCAAAACAAAAACGGTGGTGTTTTCTTGGTGTCCCCTTAAGATCACACAAAAGGGGGCAGAGTTGGCCTTTGTAGGCTTGGTTAGAAGTGGAGTGGTATAGACTGGTGACATTTTGTTTGGAATCGCCCCCCCCCCCCCCCCAGAAATGTCTTTTGTTGTTCTGTTTTCTGGAGGGGGGTTCCCTTTAATACGAACTACCAACGAAAAGAAGCGTGGGATTATGGGTCTGTCTTTTTTAGGTGACCCCAAAAAAATCCGCGGATTGCCTTTTGGTTTCCCTTGAAAAGCCCTACAAGAGGGAGGGGGGAATCTCCAAAATACGACATACCCAAATGGGGAATCGGACCCCCCCCCAAAAAAAAAGAGTGTTCCTTTTGATTTCCCTTCAAAGCCACACACACACACACGCACAGGCATAGGTGTCCTTTTTAGGTTTGGTTAGAATTGGACGGGTTCCACTGGTATTGGTTTTATGCCCCATTTACCAGGGCCATCTATATAGTTTTTCAAAAGGTGGCTATGATGCAGGGTGTCTCTATGTAGGCCTCAGCCCCCTCCCCCCCGGGAAAAGAACGCACCCTATGTTGACACACCCAAATGGAGTTTGGATCCCTTTTGATTGATATTTCAAGAGAAACCCAAGAAAGAACCAAGCATTTCACACGATCCTTATCCCAATCCTTCATTGACAGCTTCCAGCTTGAAGCCAGAACCTGAAACAAAGGTGTTGTTTCAACTGCAATTTACCGGTTGTAACTTTCATGATGCAATCATGGGGTGTGCAGGTGCAGTTTTGGGGCTTTGGTGCAGATGGAAGTCCTGAATGGCTTGAGTCGCCTCTGCGGCCTAGGTCAAGGGTGCAAATCTTCAACCTGCTTTACGTTATCTGCGGTCTATGCTGGTGTAATTTAATTGGGGGGTCACAGAGCCTCGGCCAGTTGTGAATGTTGCAAGGAAGTTTTGGGGAAGATCATTTGCCACCAGTCCCAAGAATAGAGGATGGAGGGCCGAGGGGGGCGGGCCTTTCCCCAGGCAAAACGAGCATGCAGGGGTGCGGTAAGACGGGTAAGACGATCTTATGAGACACGTGCGTGCTTGCCATGGTTGCGGAGTACGGGGCCATTACGAGTAAGGCCGTGACAGCTCGTAATTTTGCGACAGTCAGATTTGCTCCTGAACTTCACATTGCCTGTCGCTTACATATCCTAGCACAAACTAACCGCACGCCACGTAGCAGAAGCGACAAAATGCTGGTGGCAAATGTATAAGATGCCCCCAACCAAATTTGATGCTCATTTGGGAATGTATATTTTACCCATGAGAGGTGGGTGTGCCTCACAAAAGATCCCCTAAAATGGTACTGTTTGGGTTTGCAAATCCAGCGCAAAAAACGGTCCCCTCACAAAAGGACACATCTAGATGGGTTCCTGACCAGAAGCGCGCTTGCCCAGCGCTCTTGTCCTTCGCGCGCTTGCCGCACTGCAGGCCGCCCTGGTCTGTGAAGACGAAAGGTCGGCCTGGCGCGATAGCTTGTGGTTGCGTATCAACTTGCGTTGGCAACGCCTGCATTGTCGCATTTTAGCAGGTGTTTGCTTTTGGGTTGGTGTCTGGTTGGGGTTTCAGGCTTGAAGGCTTCGCTTTTTTTAGCAACACATATCTTAACGTTGTTTTGGGGATTTGGGATTTGGACCCCCTTAGGGTCAATTAAACTCTAATGCGCAAAGAGTCTGGACAAATGAGCCCACCAATTGGCCATGAAGGTCCATTGATAGGGGTCTCCATTCCAGCTTGGGGAATAGCAATATCAGGGGTTAAATCATCATAGATTCACCCCACCTCATTCTATTATGTAGCCCCAGAATTCCAATGCCCGCTTTTAAATGGGCGAACAACCCACAAGTGCAGGCCATTCAACCTTCCCTTTGCCGGTCGGAAATATTGGGAACCCTCGGCGTTTGACCAAATGCGTTGGTCTCTTTTTGAGGGTCCCCCCCCCATTTTGTCGGTTTTTTTGACAGGGACACCAAAAGGACACCGGTCATTTCTTGACTGCTATTGGGTTGGATCTTTAGACTTTAACTTGTCGGGAAATCAAGCGGTTTTCCACTAAACCTCCAAAAAGTTAAACTTTTTGCAGGGGGGTCAACAGCAACCAAGATTTGATTTTTGGTGTTCCCCCCAAACACGATGCGCCCAGCGCGAGCCTTCACGCGCGTCAGACTTGTCCCTGGACATGGTGCCGCTGCTGGAGCAGATTAGCGGGGAGCTGAGGTGCCGGAAGAAAATGGGGCGCAGAGGTCCCCGGAGAATACCTGGGGTAGACTTCGGATACATTTTACATTTTACCAGTGAGTCAAAGTGAAGCAAACGATACAATATACAATCTACAACTGAGCCTAACTCCAACCATGATACGGATGGACTCTTAAAATCCTGCAGTTTGGGGGGGGGGGTGGTGCATCCCAGTTTTGGTAGGACTTCATCCCAGTTTTGGCGCAGCAGCTGATCCGTGAGTACGTTCCAGTCATGGTTGATTGAATGCGAAACCAGATCTGGCCATGGTTCAATACTACCGTTTTGGGATAGGTGCACCACCCACTTTGGTCTATTTTTGTGGGGATTGGGATCCTCACTGGAGATACGCGGTTTTAACCCATGGCCAGATCTGAACACATATTTTTTTGCGTACCCCGGAGTCGGGTCGAGAAGTCAGATTCCCTCATGCATGGAAGGAACTTCCACTTGGGACGCGTAGGAGCAGGTTTCCGAGCCGTTGCTCATTGGTTTGACCTTTGGCCCTGGGACGGGGTGGATTTTGTGTTTGCGTGTTCAGAACAAAGACCTTGTGATTTGTGCGAAGCTGCTTGTGGGTACGTGTGAATCAATCATCTAAGAACATGTTTTATTTGCCATCGTATTCATACTTGTCTTTGTGTATGCATGTGTAGAGTCTATTCAGTTCAGGCTCACCTGGGCAAAAACCGAGCTCACCATGATGAAGGGGGGTTCAGGTTTTGGGCGTATGGAACAACTACTGTGTGATTCCAACTACATTGGTCAGGGTTTCCTCCATTTCCCTTGTTTGGAACCTCCAAAGGTGGCAGGTTCAAGGAGCACCACCGGTAAATTGATGGTAAATGGTACGTGCTGAACCACCGCCTTGACCTCCAAGCCACGCCAAATCACCAAGGCTGAACTGCTCTCATGTGGTTAAGTTGACATGGCGCCTCAGGAAGTCTAAATCAAGCAACCAGAGCAGCCACAAACAAGGCAAAGTCAACTTGCTTGTGCTCAGTTGGGTGTTGGGAATACAACGGAAGGGGATTCCCTGAGAGGAGACAACCAGTTGGATGGTTTTTGTCGGGGTCATTCCATTTCTCATCGCCTATCGAACCAGCAACTGGGTCTGTCTTCTTTTCAGGGTGTCTTGTTTTTGGTGGTTTTCAAGGGACACCAAAAGGAACACCACCATTTTAGTGGGTCACCCTTAAAAAGAAGAAGAAAAAAGAACAAAAGTCGACCAATGAAACCTCCGAGGTTGGCTGAACCCCGCGGTGCGCGGGGCTCTCGCAGTGCAGCTCTCCTGGAAGATGGGCGCGCCCAATGCCGCAGCTCGGCGAAAACGCATCGCCGGTGTGTGGTGTGCATAGGGCGCCAGGGTGTGCCATGCCCCCGAAGTGCTCCTTTTCTTCAGCTTGGCTGCAACTGGGCTTTGTGGTCGTTTTGCTTTTTAGGAGGGGCGAAAAAAGCCGCAAAAAAAGATGGCCTCAAACACAGAGAGACCCGAATCTTACTCTGGGAGTGGAGTGGTGAGCTCCGCGTTTGGTTTCTGCTGCTTGAGGGGTTCAATCTACCCGGGGAGGACCATGAGGCCCGGCCAATGCTCGCAAAAGCCGGTTGGGCTAGGTCATTTTGTCCATAAAACACGTCGGGCTTGTAAGGGATTTAAGGGAATTAGCCCGAGTTGTCCAATTTACGTGCCTGGTTAAAATCTAATTGCTAAATCGTTCAAGCAGAAATCCAGCGGTTTAGTGAGCATTGGGGGGGGTCACTGGAAGACTGCTCTTGAGCAAGTTGGATCTACGCGAAGGTGAAACCAATTCCAAAAGGGATCGATGTAATTTTGTGTTTTGTTGGGAGGTTCTGTCGAAGTTGTCCTTGAAACATCGCCTCCTGAGTTGAGCAGGCCTCAATGTATGAGCAGCGCCCAACCCCCCCCCCCATGGGGGGGTTACAGCAAAGCCTATATGGGGCGTTTTTCAATATTAGGCCCCTTTTCATCAACACCATCAATAACGGGAGCCCTACTGTGGTTGGACAAAATCCTGCACCACTTTGAAACCACGCAAAGCCATTGTTTGTTGGTATTTTTACCGGGGAATTATCATTCCAGGGCTTCTTAGGTGGTGTAGGATGTTGTCCACCCACAGTATTTTGAGAAACATAGAAGCCTTAAGCACCACTTATTCGTAGGACCAAAAAGTCAGCGCCGTCCAAAAAACAACCTGGAGTCTCCATGATCCGTTAGAAATGGGTGTATGACCCCTATTTTGGGTAATGCCCCCATTTTTAAAGGGTCATGGAGACACCAGGAAACTCTGAGAACCCATGGCCCCTTTAGCTCAGGTGCTACGGTTAGCCGCCGCCCTTGCGCAGCTGCTGCCTCGGTGGTGCGGTTTGCTGGGGGGCTGGCCTTTCAACATGTGGCGGTGGTGTTTTGGGATTCCAAATTTTGGTTCCACCCATTTTAGAACCTATTTTAGTGGTTGGATTGGGATGTTCACTGGGGGTTGCGATTTGGTTTTTTGACCCATGGCCATGTCAAGAGACACACCTGTGGATTGTGCCAAAGGGGGGAGTTCGTGGTCCACCCTAGAACGGGCACTCTCAACAAAGCCACACCCCACCTTTTGGCCCAACAAGGGTGCTTGTTGCCTTCAGAGTACACCGGTTTATCCATGGCCATATGGGTAGAGATCCTTTGTAGAACGCACTTTGGACACGATCCATGACATTTGGGCTGACTTGCTGCAATTTATTGGGAGCCGACCGAAGTTGGCATGCAAAAAACAAAGCACAACGCTGACGTTAGGGAAGCAAACCATAGAATAGGGCGCATTCTGCCAGGGCCGGACTCACTTCAACCGTGAGAACTGGCATCTTTGTTCGAATACTTCCAGAAATCAAGCCAAACCGAAGGAGATAGGGAAGCTTTCTGATTTCACAGACTCCGTGGACACTTGCAGAACATGTGAAACGAGTTTGTTCTTCTTTTTTTTTGCGAGCAAGCACTTGACACGATCTCTCGCAAAGATTGGGATTCACGCCGCGGATGGAGAGGTTTGGGTTTCCATAAATTCGGCGTTGGGCTCTTTAGGAGTTCGAGGAAATATGTCATTTCACGTTATGCATCTGCTCCCCCCCCCCCCCCAGGAACAAAAAAACGGGGAACAAAAACCTCAAACAACAACACAAGTCCAGTTGTTGCTTTAAAAAATGTCCTCCATCTCAAGGGGTGTGGTCAGGTTCGAGCCGATTGCGGCGCTGGACGCAGCCGGCGAGCCTAGGGGGTGATTCGCCACTGATTGGATTTGTCTTCTGGGTCCCTCAAAGTGGTTGGGGGATGGCTTTTATTAGGATCATCACTTAGAGGTTTTGTTTAAAGTGTTTTTGGGAATGGTGTCCATTTTTAAAGTTTGTTTTTTGGCATGGTGTCCACTTGGATCATCACTTGGAGTGTTCTTTGCTGCTTTTTTGAGACGGTTTCAATCTTTAAAGTTTGTTTTTGGGATGGTGTCCATTTGGATCATCACTTAGAGGGATGGTTTTCTTTCTTTTGTTTTCGAAGTTTTCTTTTTGGGATGGTGTCCATTTGGATCATCACTTAGAGGGGTTTTTACAGTGCTTTTGGGGATGGTTTCCATTTTCAAAGTTGTGTTTTGGGATGGTGCATTTGGATCATGACTTAGAGTATCATTTTGAGGACACTTTAATGCATTGGGTCGAAGTGGTTGCATTTGAGAATGATTTGGGGAGCGTATCGAATTGCGTCATTCCTTAGAGGGTTATTTTGAGAATGTCACTTTTATGCAATTGGCGTTTGCTGAACGTTTCGTCAGAGCGGGTTCATGGGACCACACAATTAATCGGCGTTGCGGATCGAACTCAGTCACAGTTGCCGGGAAAAAAACAACACAGCTTCAATTGGCGATCCCTTTGGCAGCAGATGAACAACACAAATCAACCAACAAAACAACAACAACCAACAACCTCAAAACAACCGAAAACCCAATACAACAAAAAACGACACAACAACACAACCAAAGAAAACAATACAACCAAAAAGCACAAAACAGGCCAGGCATGAGATGTCCGAAGGGCTGCAGCTGAGGTGGAGGGCCTGAAAGCAAGCGCTCTGCGCCCTTTGCCACCAGAGGAGCAGAGTGCTGTCGCTTTGAGGATACCTCGCTTTGGGTGGGTTTCTCCAAGGCCGTTTTGGGTGCTGTGTGTTGAAGGACACCCCGGACTCCGTTTTAGGGTAGGTGAATGAATGGAAGCCAAAGGGGAAGCGCAGGCCATTTTGTGGGTTCCTCCAAGTTTCAGACGCCATGGGGCAAGCGGGCACGCTTTTGGAGTGACCTCAACCTGAGCCATGCCCCCAAGGGAGCCCCTTGAAAACGGGATCCATGCGTAGCGAGCATAGCGGGCCTAGCTTGGAGTGCCGTGATGGATAACCGTTGGCGATGTTTTGGGATGCTCTGGACACATGTTTGTTTTCACTGTTTTAAGCTTGCACGGTTATCACTGTTTTTCCATTGTCTCTTTTCACATCAGGGTGGGCACGATTTAGCCTTCCACATATGTTTGGGAACGAGAAGTGTGCTCTGTGGCATAGGTCCGCTTTGCCCTTTCGCTTCACCAGTTGAATCCCTGATATTGTGCCATCCGAGACCCATGGGCCCACGTAAAATCGATAAATGAAAGTAGTGTTGCCTTCCAGACCCAACTAAGCTGAGGAGCCGGGCCGGGCCCCAACTAAGCTGCATGATTTTCTTGGCTCACTTGCCCCCTCCCTTCAGCTGACACCTGAGAGAGGGTTCATTTTTGAGGAAAGGCATTTTGCACCTCAAGTCAGGTTTCCAGTGGGTTGGAAACAACAAATGAGTCACTTCCCTTTGGTTTCGTCCCCTTCAACACCATCCCAAAAAGGGTCCCGATCCCCCCTACCTCAAAAATAAAATTGAGGAGGGGGGTGACGTCAATAAACCAAAAAAAAAAACAGATCGGGCTTAAAAGCCCCCCGAGCCCTACCCCCGCCGGCCCAAGCACACCGCCCTGCATGGTTCTCCCGCACGCTGGGCCCGTGCGCTCCGTGCGCTCCGTGCGCTCCGTCTCAGTTGGTTGTAACGCCAATTCGGCCCCCAAAGTGCAAGGGCATCGCCAAGCAGATCGTGAGAAGTGTGGTTGCGCATAGCAGCGCGCATCAGCGCGCAATATCGCCTAAAATCGCGCAATTAGAAGGAGCGTCTTGAAAGCAATCCAGAAATCTGCCACGCGCAGCTGCAATCTGCCAAATTCTGCGGGGCTTGTGGACCTCTCAACCGCGGGACCCGGCGCGCCGGGCCCTTGTGACCCGGCAAGCTCTCAGATGCGTGGCGCGGCGCGCTGGGCCGTCCGCCGCGTGAGCCGCGGCTTTAAGGCAGTTGAAGCATGTTGGCGCCGGCCAGCGCTTGGCGTTCTTTCAACCGATGCAAAAATAGGCCCCATCACACGCAAAGCCATTCGGGCCCCGCACGACTCCGACCTTTGGATTGAGTTTCGCACCGATGCTTTGTACTACATGCTTTGGTGCAACAAGGACATGCCGAGGGCAGGTTTGGGCGCACCCGGAAAAACAAGAAGCAGGGCAGCCCCAAGAAGCGTGGAAGCCCCAAGAAGCGCGGCAGCCCAAAGAAGCGTAGTAAGCGTTTCAGCCCCAAGAGGCAAGGCGATGAGGACCTTGTAGATGGCCCAATCGAGCCTTGCACTTGATCTGCTACGGCTATGTACAGGTGTTGTGACATATTCAAGAAGTTGGAATATAGGCTTGGTTGATGAACATCGAATCGTGAAAAACATGCGTTGCCGGTGTGGGTTGTAGTTTGGTAGGATCGGTTGAGGATCATGGAAAATCATGAGTTGTTGCTCTGGGTTGTAGTTTGGCGGGATCGGGTGATTCGGAGCAGCTTCAACTTCGGCATGTTGGAGACCAACGAGAGCTTTGTCTACTGCGGAGGCTGGCTGGGGAGGAGCGCTGAGCAAGTGCTGCTGGATTTTGAGGACTACAAGCAGATCATCCCGATCACCATTCCCAAGGCCGGAACATGAAGGATCGCCTGAACCCCTCCGAGGTGCCAAGGCAGAGGACGACTCCACGGAGACTGGGGCCAACGCGGATGGCAAGGAGGAGGCGGGACCGGTGGTCAGGCGGCGGTTGGAAGGAGCCACTACAGAGGCGGTCGCTTTGGCAAGAGCAAGGGACGTGGCAAGGATGCTCAGGGAGTACGTCCATGGAGGGTACCGCGATGCAGTGGCAAGGTACACGAGCCATGAGACAAAGACTTGGTCATGCTTTTATTTCGTGAATCATCATCAACACCCCCCTCAACATGTTCACCCGAACAGAAACACAAGTTGTGTCCCAATGAAATGCAATATGCATTTGTAAGGTGGTCTCAATCCTGATTCCCTTGCGAGATGTTAGCCCTGCAGGGGCGAGCTTTGAATTGCCCTGCCGTTTCTTGTGTCTTTTGATGTCTCAGGTATGGAGATGGCCGGGCGCGCAGACAAGGCGGCGGCGCAGCGGGCCCAGGAGGAGCAGAACACGCTGGCGTGGAAGGCCACGAACAAGATGGCGGACGTGGTCCTGAATAGGCTGCCCCGAGGCCAAGGAAACACATGCAGCCGACATGCAGCAACCGCAGCATCGCCAGCAGCCCAACTGGCATTCAGCAGATCCGCCATGCAGCACATGCATCCACCACTCAGCATTCCTTGGCCCAGGTGTCTCACTGGTAGGCCTTAACTGGGCCCGGGCATGAACATGCCTTTTTCGTCGGGAGGCTCTTTGCAGTTTTAGTTTTGGGCCAATGAGCCAAGGGGGGTGCGGCGGCCCTTTGAAACCCCACCCAAACCACATGAGAATCCTTGTGCACAATCAGCCGAGCGCACAGCGCACACGAGCCGGCAGTTATGGGTTCCCCCCCACAAATGCCCCATAACCCCGACATGAGCTTCAATATGTTTCTGAGTTTGGGCAAGTGCCATGTAATGTGTTTCAAGACTCATCTGAGTTTGGGCAGGCGCAATTTAATGTGTTTCAATGCTAATCTGAGTTTGGGCAGGCACAATTTAATGTGTTTCAATACTAACCTGAGCTTGGGCAGGTGCACATTAATCTGAGCATACTATTCTGAGTTTGGGCCAGTACCATTTAATGTGGTTCAATACTAATCTGAGTTTGGGCAGGCACCATTTAATGTGTTTCAGTACTAATCTGAAGTATACCCTTTCAACTGGTTCAATACTGGTGTGAGTTCGGCCGTACCTCAAAAATATGTTTCAACAATACTAGTTAGTGTGTTTTGGGGGGTCTGCTCACGATGCAATTCCGCATTCATCCAAGGGTGATGGTGTTGGGAAGGCGCCTCAAACATCGACCCTTCATGGCTTGACCCACCGGAATGGGGAACCCACCAGCCCCCGCCTGCAAAGCCGACACGTGCCAAGTGGGTTGTGAAAAAAGAAGGAATGGGTGCTGAGCAGTGGACTGAGGGTTGCCTGAGGGTTGGAAACATCAATGACTCGACTATGGGAAACAGAGTTGCGCAAATGCATTTTTCACTTTGTCCTTTTCACCTTAACAAAACACACTTGCGTTGTCTATCTCATCTGGTGCACTTCTGCTAGTGTAATTGCAATCATGTCCACGCTGATTTGCGAGAGTTCGTAGATAGTTGTCGTTACCAAGCAATCCGGGATGACGGTTGGAAATCATCGGTGTGTTTGTTTCTTGTAGGGTTTGTTTTGGGTTTCAAGGGCATTCAAACGAATCCTGTCACACAAGAAGGGGCTGCTTTGCACATTTGTGATGACATCGATGATCAGTGAATGGACTATAGGAATCACGTCAATCCTAGTTTTGTTCCACGTATCCCTGTTTAACCTTCAATCAAGAAGACATGCATTCTTTCACCGGCCCTTTGAAGAGACTCACATCCGAACAATCCTATATTCGCCATGTCCCTTTGTATGGTTTGGACCATTTGATGCAAGTCACAGAACAAGGTGAGGGCATTAGCGCCTTATGTCGCAAGTAGTTTGGCTTGCTTTCTACGAATTGGTAAACAGGGAGGAGGGCCAGCCCCTTGCCCTTTGTGGATCTCCCGGGCAGCACGAAGTGGAGCAGCTGCAGGGTTGCAGCTCCAAGAGGCAAATGTGTAATCAAGCGGCCTGGGGCCGTTTAAAAGCAGATTCCCGAATTTGCCTTTTCATCCAATTGCGGAACTGCAGCTTTCAGAAAGGCGCGCTTCCCCGAAACTGCCTCTTTTCATTTAGTTTGCTTACCGCCACTGGCGGTAAGCAGACTAAACGCTCGGATCAAAGGATTTCAGCCAATATCCAGCCCTCGGATGGTTTAGTCTGCTTACCTCCATCGTCGGTAAGCAGACTAAATGAAAAGAAGAAGTTTCGCGAAACTGCCTTTTTTGCCAAGTTTGCAGCTCTGCGCATCATGATGCACCTGGTTTGCATTCTTTCTGGCCCCAAGGCTTAGCGTAGCAGAAGTGCAAAGAATAAGAAGAGTCGGAGATGATTGGGTAAGAAAAGAGAATTGGTGACCTCCTCCTCGTTTACCAATTCGCAGAAAGCAAGCCAAACTACTTGAGACATGAGGCGCTACTGCGCTCTCAACAAGCTGCTGCCGGAGATCCTATGAAAAAGAGATGTGCCGCAGGCGCGTGGGCCACAGCTCAGTCAGCTCAGTGCTTCGTCTACCTCGAGTTTTTGCAAGTGTCCTGGAACCTGCTCTTGGCGGGTGAAAAAGAAGGCTTCAGGTCACTTGGCTGAAACGGGGGTCGGGCGCAGCGCTTCCGCAATTGTTCTCCCTATTTTGGCATCGCTTCAAAGAACGTCAAACACTGCCCGGAGCCGCTGATTTAGTGTGTGTCAGCCGCGCCCGAAACCTTGCTGTGAACCCTGCTGGGTGGGATGTTCAAGTTGGGCTCACGCAGCGGACGGCCCGGGGCGCCGTGCCACGCATTTGAGAGCTTGCCGGGTCACAAGGGCCCACGTGCCCGGCGCGCCGGTTCACAAGGCCCGGCGCGCCATTTCACAAGGCCCGGCGTTGGGCCCGGCGCGCCGGCTCACAGCGCGCCATTTCACAAGGCCCGGCGTAGGGCCCGGCGTCGGGCCCGGCGCGCCGGCTCACAGCGCGCCATTTTACAAGGCCCGGCGTAGGGCCCGGCGCGCCGGTTCACAAGGCCCAGCCCCGGCGCGCCGGGTCACGCAGTTGTGTGTCGCCGTGTCACGGTTGCACGTCCGGTCCCGCAATCCCGGCGAAGGAGGCAGTGTGCCGGGTGACTCGATTGTCTGCGTTGCAGGTCACAGGGCCTAGGAAAAATAAAATGACCCCCCCCCCTACGTCGTTTGAAAAATAAAATGCCCCCCCCCCTACGTCCCTTGCACTAAGGCGGGGGGGATGGGTCCCGTCAAAAATGCCACACCCACCTGTTTTTGTTTTTGTTCTGATGCCAAAAGACTCCATCTAGAAGCAACCGTCGATTTTACATGTCCGGTGTTTCTTTTTTTGGCGGGTACCCCCTTTTGAGGTGGGACGGCGAATTCCAGGGAACCGAAATCCCCAAATCCAATCCATCCAATCCCCCCCTCCCACTTCCACCCGTTCTGGGCCATTCGCTCAGGAGCACTTGCTGGCATTGTGGGCATCCCAGCGCGGTTGGCTCCTGGCATACCTCACTTCCTGAGTTGGACTTTATACTTTTTGGGTTTGGACCGTGGTGGCACTCAAGAAGTGCGGACTCTGCTTGTCGAACCCACCCAAGTGAGATACGCTGGCTATTGGTACAGGGCCCCGGTTTCTGCACTTGAGTCACGACACTAGCAGCGGGCAGCCATGCTTTGGAGGTGCCTTTTTTTGAGGGTCCACCGCTTTGGTCTGTTTTACGAGGAACCCAAAGGAAGAACATTTTGGGGGGTCCCCAAAAAGACCGGGGAAACATGTAAGCCAGCAGGTTTGGTCGCTGAGGAAGATGGGGAGCTCGGGCTGGAACTGTCTGGTTCTTTCTGTCTAATGTTCCTTCACTGTTCTTGGTGTGCTTGTTTGTTTATGTTGTTGTTTGTCCATTTTTCGTGGGTGGCTACAAAAAGCGGAGGTTCTTTCGCTGCCAAGCAGAGAGGTCATCAAGAACCACCTCGTGCTTGACCCCGTTGATTGCTCTCCGAAAGTTTTGCAGGGAGCCCCCGCATGCGGAACCTTTCCTTCACAGCCGCTTCAGAAGGACGCTGAAAGCTTTGGCGCTGCCCGGCCATGCATCTTGCTGCGTTTGGGTTTAACTTGTGACATATGGGTGTGGCTCGAACTGAAAGGGTTAGGCGGGTTTAGCCTTTTGTCCCAGAAAAAAACAAGATCAAAAGTTTGGTATTTCATTTTTTGGTTGCCACCCGGCAAAAGTCCGACAAAGCTTTTTGGGCCAAGAGGAGACGGATTTGGATGCTTAGGCTGCACAACAACCCCTTGCCCATGCTCGAGAAGTTGGTGATAAAGGCAATGGAGGCGAGAGTCGTCGGTGTTCTGCTGCACCGGTTGCCTCAGCGTCCTTTTTACCGGCCCAGTAAGAAAAAACTTGTTTACCAGACGATTTTGGAGATCCCCTTGTAAAGCAGCTGCATGGTACCCTTTGGATGTCCTAATTTTGGTGAGGAACTATGCAAAACCTGCAGCTCAACATGGATTGTGGTCGGTTTACTTGCAACAGTTGTGCGGCTCAAACGCAGCTGCGGACGTCTATCAATTTATCCACTGCTGTTGAACTGATAACTGCTTGTTGCAAATACCAAGCAGGCGACGGACACGCCCACGAGGACTTTTGATCATGGCACCTAGGTCCCCCAGCTAGATGCCCTTTTACTGTTGTCTTTTTGGGTTGGGAGGGTTCCCTACTAAAATAGACTACAGACACAAGTTGGTAGCCTTAGAAACAAGTTGGTGCCCTTATCCTAACCTCTCTACTGGAGGATCTAGTTGCACATCTGGGCGTACTCTGCGCCAGGGGAGTTCCGCGCCGGCCGTCGAACTGAGGTCCCCTCCCCTTTTCGGGCCCAAAATCATTCAACAGCGCAAAATTTCCCAGTAAGGAGGTCAGAGGGCAGAAATCTAAGTATTTTTTTTGATCTGCGCTGGTTTCGTTTCGAATCGGTTTAAGATGAGTTTAGTAGTATTAGTCCTAAAATGTCCCCTAATAAGACTGGAGTTGGGGTCGGAGGGAAATTTGCTCGTTTAGATTTCGTTTAGAGTTGGATAACTCTATTTTAGTATAGTGAGACTTGGCGTCCGGGAATAGAATTATTGATAGGGTGCATTTGTTCATGAGTGGAACGGATCATCAATTGACTATCCTTTCTTGTTGTAGATTGACATGGAGAGTTGCATCCACCGATTCCCGCACACTTTGGGGAACGCGAGTTGACTCGCTGGTAGGTTGATGTGGGCAGATGGGGGACGGACTTCTCACGGCAGCTGGGGGAGGGAAGGGTTGATTCCCTGTTTTGAAGCATGTGGCGGAATCCTTGTGTCTCCAGTCTGCTTATTTGGGCATTCATTTTCATGAGGCAGCCTTTGGATCAACATTCAGTGGGGATTCATGCCCAAAACACTCTGGAGGCGGTTCCATAAATTACATGTCAACTGGTGGTCCCTGTCCTTGATTCATAGCTATCTTCAGGTGAAAACGGTTTGGACCGCGCTTTTTGCGGTTCCACTTGTTCTTCCCCCTATGTTTTGTTTTAGTTTTACTTTTTTAAATAATAAAAAGACATCTTTCAGTACTCTCTTAACATCCCAGAAATTTGGATCCACAGCGTTGCCTCTTCCAAGCCTTTTTCTAGAAACACCCATAGGAAACCATGCGAAACCACGAGAAAGCCATAGGGAAGCCATAGGAAACCACAGGAAACCATAGGAAATCATAGGGAAGCCATAGGAAACCATACGAAACCACCAGAAAACCATAGGGAAGCCATAGGAAAGCGGCTGCGAAACCTCTCCTTCGCTCAGGACGATGGAGGCCTCCGCCGGGCATCTTGGTGGGTTGAGAACGACAAAATCCGAGTTGAGGTCGGTTGAAGCCAGCGGAATCCCAAGGAAAACCGTGTATGTTCAGACATGTGTTGTCCATTTTGTTTGTTTCTTGGTTTCTGTTGTTTCATCTTTTCGCAAGTTTGCAGTAACTGCTGGCCTTTCGAGGTCATAACGCTAGGTAGCCCTTCGCGATTTTCCTTTGGTTCTTAGAGGGTGGTGTATTCCTTTTAGTCATTTGTGCAGGTAAAGGGATCTCTCTGGGTATGGTATGTCTGCTTTTCGAGGTTGTTGATGGCTTTGCTTTACTTCCACTGTTTCAGGTGTTTCCTTTCTTTCAGTTTCCTGTGGCCAGTTTCTCTCATGGTTAAAATAAGCAGAACCTGCAACAAAAAGTGCAGTTGGTCCAATGATTTTGCCCCGAAGTTCAGGACGAATGCTTTCATGTGAGTTGACTATTCTCCTGAGCGTCAAGCAAAATGAGCGATGCGAGTCCTAACTAAGTTTGTCTGTAGGAAACGAGCGGGCGGGGGTCCGAGGGCGGTCCGAGGTGCCGCACTCTTCTGGCTCCACTTGGGGCGGCGCAAAAGTCCCGCGGCATGCGGCCCGGACTCAGATTTGGAGCGCGGCCTCGAAAAAAAACCGGCCTGAAGGGTTGATCTGGACGGGGCTTTTCGGGCGGAAAGTGGCGGCTTTCTGCGCGGGGTGCTCAGAAGCATGGAATTTCTCTTCACACCATGAGGATGTCACTTCAACGGACCCAGTCAAACCTAGCAAACGTGAAGCCAGCCTGCAATGAAAGCACCGCAAGCCGTCTGAACTAATGGCCCCTCGTAGACACCCATTTGGGTTGTATCAAAATGAGGGAGCCCTCGAATCCCTCGAAACGGGCGAATCGTTCCCTCCGGGGTACCAAACAGATTACCCATACAACCTCTGCCGATTGGGCTGGCAGGGTCTGCCCGACTGACCCGTTTACACATAGCACCTCTCGGAAAAAAGGGTGCCAAAGCGGGTCCGCAGGAGTGTCCTGGCTGAGGATTTATAGAAAGGCGTTTATGAACCTTTTGCTTGGCGCAAGCAACCCAGGAGTGTCCTGGTTAGCATGATTTATAGAAACTAATAAGCCTTTGCAAGCAGCTTAGTAAAACCAAAAGTCGATAAATGTTGGTTGCTCAACTCAGTTCAGGCCAGTTCCTGGAGAAGATCTGCGATTTGGAGTTGCAAGAGGAAGAGCTGCTGCCTGGCTCGCCGGTTCTGGAGATGGTTGAAAGGTTCCTGGAATATCACCAGGGTAGCCAACCGCTCACTTGTTTTATATTCCATGTTTGCCTTCCTTGATTTTTGTTTGCCTTTTTGGGCCCCAGGAACCATTCCCCGCCGGTACATGCCGTGTGGTCTATCCAAAGCCCGGGTTTGATGCTTTCTTGTGGTTTGGAAGGATCAGGCAGGGGATTGTCATGGCAACTTGAGCTGTTTTTTGCCACACAGTGCAATAGTTGGGCGGGAATCACAGAGTTGTGATTCCCCCCTGCCTGAAGGTTTTGGGCAGAACATGAACTCGTGAACGTAAGGGACATGTTTGGTCCGTTTCTGGTCCGCGGTTCGGTCCATAGCCAGCCTTGACAGGTGGATTCCAAGTTGGGGCAGATGTCAGGTGCCTTTCCAGCAGGAGCTCTGTCCAGGGGCCAATCCGGATTCAGGTTCCCCCGGTTCCAGGGGGATCAACCTAGCGAGAGGTTTTCGGTGTTGAGCAACCGCCTGTTTTATGGGGAAGCCCAAACTTGGGGGCTCCCAGCCATCCCCTTAGCTTTTTCGTTGTTTAGTGTTTAGTGGGGGTTTCCATTTCGCCCACTAAAAGTTGGAGCCACTTTTAGATCTGACAGCTCAGAAAAGGAAGCCGCGGGGCTGAGGCTGCAAGCCGCGGAGCCAGTGGCTGCCCTTCTTGAAACCGAGGAGCTGGAGCCACTGGAGGTGCAGCTCAAGCGCTTCGCGGGGATGCCAAGCCACGCGTCGAGCGAGTTCCGCTGTTTCTTGCTGGTGCGATAGGCGGGGAATGGGAAGGAAGCAGGGGTTCCCTTAAAGGAAACCACAAGGGATGCATTGATTCCCTCATTCCATGGTGACAAGTTTTGTGGTCCAGGAATGACTTACGTATTGGGACGCTTGGAAATGAAAACCCTGTGGGTTTGATAGGGGGTGTCCAACTTCAGAGATCTGGATCACTTTTTGGGGAGCGGCACCGTTGCGGCACTCTATTGCTCGACATCAAACCCAGGTTCTCTGGGGAATTTCAGTGCCTTGGCTTGAGTCATTTTAGAAAACGCAAGGAAGCAGGCATGCTACAGCGTCAGAGGATCAAGGCAGGCAAAGATTTGGAAACTCCAGACCAATCCTTCGGAAACCAATGGACCCCCCTTGTCCCAAGCTACAGCTGTGCTCGCAGCCCTGCGCCATCTTGGACCGGCAACGGTAATGGACCAGGAAGCCGATCGGAGCTTGAAGGCGCGCAGGACTTCTGCGAGCTAATGCCAAGATGACTTCTCGGCTTGTGCTCGCAAGAGTTATTTTGTCTTTGCGCGTGATCTCCTGACTTCAGAAGCAGTCTCAACTTATTTTATTGTGTTGTGTTTTATTTTGCTTCTTCTGTTTGTTTAACAATAATATATGGATTTATAATATACACAGTTTGATACGCAAGAAATAAACAAACAACCAATATCAAAGTCGAATTATTACAACAAGATATAAAGACGATAGGTGATTTGAGGGGAGAAAGAGAACGTCATTGCATTTATTATGTGATTATCAGTTCATATTAGATGTGCATGTTTTTTTTTTTTTTTTTATTATTATGATGTTCTTATTATTATTATTATTATTATTATTATTATTATTATTATTATTATTTGTTTTTATTATTAGTATTATTAGTATTATTATTATTATTTATTATTTATTATTTATTATTATTATTATCAAGTATTTTTTTATTATTAGTAGTAGTATCATTTATTATTATTACCATCTACGGTTGGATCGTATTAATATATTGTTCAAGTTATGTTAAAAATTCAAGATGAAAGGTTATCCAAAAGTAATACACACTCATAACGATAATGAAGAAAACCATCTTGCAGGGGTATCAGATCTAGCCAATGGTGTTGCGGATTTTACTGTCCGGCTCATGAGAAATGTTATTTGCACCTAAGGACGCAAATTGAGTTTGTCTAAAAATATGGAAACCCCCCAAAAGTGAGTGGTGTCCTTTTGGTTTCCATTTTAAACATACCCAAAAAGGGAACCCTCGAAAGAAGAAACCCCAAACGGTTTACAGAGCTGTGGCTGAAGGAGTGACAAGGGCTTTAGTAAGCCACCATTGATACCGGGCCCTACAAGGGTGTGCGCTTGTTTGAGGAAAATTGTCCTTGTCACTGGATTGTTTAAAACAAACCGAAGGTTCACCACCATTTTGGGGGTCACCCTGTTTAGATACAGAAGTGTGCGGGAGGTTTTGCATCAACCCCCACCCATAAGTCCTGCGGAGGGACGGTCAACTAATCGAATTTAAGATACCCTGGCTTGATTTTCATCAAGGACCCTGTTATTGTGTCCACCTCTCCAAAGAACTTGTCGACGGAAGCCCTCGACTCCAACATTGCTTATTTGGGTAGCAGAAGTGTGACACTTACTCTGGTGTTTCATTTGGGCATTGGATTTCCCCTTCAACAGTTGCAGCTCACCAGCGGTTGGGAACGATCGTCGCTGTTGGGGTTCCAGAAAAAGCGAAGTGGAGGAAACGTTCAGTCTGCTCCGCTGTGAAGCCTTCGAGTGCAAGGAGTTTCCAGCGCTGTGAAGCTGCAATACAGGGCCATGAAGAGAGTGAAAAATACCTAGTTCGAGAAGGGCCCACCCTATTTCGTTGTTTTGTTCTTTAGTAAAGCTGCGCAAGCTAGTGAGCACAACCGCAAAGGCTTCATTCGTGAGCTGCTTTTCTTGCCAATCGAGCGTTCGAGGTGAAGCTGGGCGGAAGAGGCACGGCCCGCAAATCCCCCATCCCCCGAGTCAGAGTTCTGTGAAGCAAGCCAGTCAACTAGGTCCCCCAGTAGTGCCCTTTTACCAACTTTTTTTGGGGAGGGTTCCCCTACTAGGATAGACTACAGAGAAAAGGGTACCCTTATTCGAACCTCTCGACTGGAGGACCTAGTCAAATTGGAAGTGCGACGTGCATGCGTGTGCAAGGTTCCAGGGGAAGAAACCTTGCGCAAGCCTGGGAATGGTGCGCAGGAAATAGTGCCATTCAAATGGCGCACTTTACGGGTTTGGGCTCGTGTCATGGAGGATGTGTTCAACTGCCCTAGTTCTGCTGGATGTTGATCCATGTTCACGAGAACTGGAAGTAGCAAAGTATGATGGTCCGGAAAGCAACGAGTCTTAGTGCACAGGGCCTGACAAACTGAGGTTCTACGGTTTGTGCGGTCGGTCAGCGGTCATGACATATGCAGCCCGCCAGCTACGTTGGATAGTTGGTCATCAGTAAACAGGATTCAGTTTTGTGTGCCAGTTTCGGGCAACCACAGTTGTTATCATCTTCTTTTTGCCAAACACATGTTTACTCCATTCCCGCTCACTGCGTGGTCCTACACATTGGGGTTCTGTCAATTCACCGAATACCCCTTGTGTAAACATGTTCGCCTGCAAAATGCTGACCCTGTGCAGAAATATTGGCCTTAGTCGATAAAATCCACACGCCTGTCACAAGGTGGGCGAACATAGGGCTGTTGTGGAACATGGTTATTTCACCAGGGGGTCTATTTTAGAGTTTCATGACCCCCCCAGTCAAGTTCCGCGTTGGTGGATGGGAGGGTATGTTGTATTTCAACATCCTCGCAAACTGGTCCAGAAAAACAAAGCAACATGTGGACACATCTACAAGTTGTCTTTGTTTTTTGTGGTTTTCTAGGATTCTTGTGATGGTATGAACTAAACATGATGTGTTCTTTGTTATAGTGGATGGGAGGGTACAGGGTTTCCTCTATTTCCTCTTGTGGAATTACCTAAAGCGGCGATCGTTTCAATGGACACCACCAGTAAGTTGATCAACTGTTCTAAGGCCCCCCCTCTTTAAGCAACCCATTTTTCCGGTTGAGCCACTTGCTCAAAAACCCGGGGATCCATGAAGGTTAGTAAGGGACGATCCCAGCCATAAATAGCTGCAGCCGCCTTCTTAGTTCTTGAAGCATGGTTCTGGGTCGACCATTTTACTACCGTGTTTTGATTGTGACTCATACAGGGGTAAAGTGATTCCCCTTGATATGGGTGTGCCTGTTTTTGAGGGTCCCCTTGCTTGTGACTACTGCCAGTTTACTACCAGGTACATGTTCGTGCCGTGTTCTCCTCGTGCCTCGGCGGCGCCTGGCCTCGAGGCGCGGCCCGGGTGCTCCGCGCACTGAAGCCGCGGGCGGCGGAGGCGCCCTGGGCGGTGGCCGCGGCGCGGAGAGCGCTGAGCGAAGGCGAGGGGTGGAGCTCACACAAAAAGTGTCTCGCTGGAGTTACTGGAGGCGAAGCTTCTTGGATCTTCTTGGGTTTTTGGACCATCGAAACTTTGGCGTTAAACAGTTTGTTTTGGTTTTGGCCAACGGGCCAACGCACTCAGGAAGCGAGTTGGGGATCCAAGTCTTATTTCAGAGTCCGGATCTTTTCGATGCTGTGCGCAAATTATGGCGAGCTAAAGGGTTGTTTCCTGGCATAGATGTCCCTTAAAAGAGTTGGGTTGAAAATAGATGGCCTTAGATTGTCACTAGTTTTAGCTTGTTTCTAGTCATTTGGCAGCAGGATCCATGTGTTTTGGACGGAGGGGTGTAACCCTCAATTGCACCTAGATTGGATGCCTAAATTGGGTGGTTGTTTTAGAGTCTCCCGACTTAAGACAACACCCAAGCCTGGGTTTAGGTCCGATTCAGAGTTGGTTTAGGGTTGGGGCAGGAGGCAGCCAGGGCTCGCTTCGTTCCATCCACGAAACCATGTCATAGTGCTGTGGCTGGACAAAAATCATTTGCACCACAAACTGAAACCATGGTTGAAACCGCTAAGTTTGTTGGTGTTTGCAGCGGAATCGAATCAGAAACCCGTGTTTGTGAACGGTGCGAAATGGATTTCGTCCAACAGTATGGAGCCCATGGCTCAGTGGAATCTAGGGGTTACACACCCCATGGCAAAAAACAAGACCCCAAAAGGCTTGCGGTTGGTCACTTTTTTCGGGGTGTACACCCAACAGTGGCTGGTAACTCGGGAACCAAAGGGTTGGGGAAAGAGGTTGTTTAGAGGGGATCCCAAAGGGTTCATCGCAAGACTCCAAGCGTATGTCCCTGCTGTCAAAAGGAAACCAATAGAAACATCGATGTTTTGAGACATACCCATACGGGAGCGGATATCCGCCCTCTTGGTTCTTTACATGAGCCACAATTAAAGCCAGGGTAGATGAAGATTAGAAAGGGATAGTCCCAACCTAAATGTGGAACGGGTGCCTTCGCCTATTTGTGGACGAAATTCGCAGCAATCCTGGTAGAGGAACCCTTTGCAAGGGCTGTTCCATTCAGTGGGGCGCAGGTCACCTGGATGGTTTTCACTCGAGGCGAGGGTCTGCCTTTGTGGCTGCTGGAGCACGCGCTGCTCTGGTGGCCGCTGCTGCTCGCAAAGAAGCCGAAGCTGGAGCCGTTTTTGCAGAAGGCCGGGCCGCCTCCAAAACGATGAGGCTATGGAATTTCCACGAAGCATCTCACAAGTGGTTGGACATGAATCTCAAACGGGCGTCCATCAAAATCAAAGTCAAAACTGCGGCTCAAGTTGGGTCACGACCTTTTGCAAGTCAACCACCTCTTTTGCTTCCTGAGGCGATCCCCTTGATCCCCTTGTGGCTCATTTAAGAAATGAGTTCTTTTAAGTGGGCTGGCAGGGTGGTGCTTAAGGGGGAAATAAAGGGAGCCCAGACAGGTGTCCTTTTTAGGTTTGGGCAAATTGTAACAACCTTGCAACGGGGCGGGGGTGTTCCCTAAAGGCATGGGCGTCCTTTAAAAGGGTTGAATGTATTTGGTATTCTGGCTACTTGACCAAGCAGACGTAACATACCAGCAAAAAGACCTGCAGGATTCGTTTCAGGCAATGGAAGGTCTGGCGCCGTTTCGAGGATAGAGGGGTCAACCTCATGGTCAATGCTTCGAGAGGGGTGGGTGACCTTGGAGATTCCGGAACTCCATTTTTGGTTTGATTTTGTGTTGATTCCCCATTCTTTTCACCCACTTTTTTCAACAACGAAGCATTTAGAGGCTGCGTGACAGCTCTGTGGGCGCTCGAGCCCAGCCTTGCCGAGCTTGCTCCAAAGTATACGCGAAACATCAATTCAACCTTGCCTGTCAACATGAACTAGAGAGTCGTTTGGCCACCGCCAAGCTTTGCAGACACCTGCGCAATATGGACACTTTCTTGAATTGCATTTTGGTCTCGCCGAACATGCAATTGACTTCTCAGAAACTAACCCTCAAAAGGCAGGTTGTCTGGTTACCGCAACGGTGAATTGGTGTCAGAAGAGAAACGAGGAAGACGCACATGTCTGCCATTCGTAGGGGGCGAGCGCTAATTTTCCATGTGGGTGCGTTTTGTGGGGCCCCAAAAAAACACGAACGTTGTGGCGTTCCGTTTGGTGTCCCTTCAAAAAACAAATGAAACAAGGGGTCGGGTCACCTTTTCTCTGCTGCTGTTGGGTTGGATCTTTAGACTTACATTTTTGGATTCCCCTCATATTTCCTGTGAACCAGAAAGTTGAGCTTTGGGGTTGGAACCTAGAGCACCCAAAGACTTGGCAGCCATGCCCAGGGGTTCCATGCTAGGTGCAAGCGAGCTACAGCGCCTCTTTGTCTCGCGCCGATCTGCTGAGCCGGGACCTCTTGCTGGCCGCCGCGGGCATGGAGGCGGGGAGCAAAAACAAAACAAATTGGACAGGGCTCCTTGAAAGATGCATGTTGTTTGTTGGTAACACCAAATTTGAGAACTCAGGATTCAGGATCTTCCAATCACAGGCTTCTGCTGAGATGAGTAATGTTGACCCAGGATTAATAAACCCGTCCCATTAGGGGCGTGTTCCCTCCAAAAGTCGTTTGAATCCCCACTAAAAGGGGACACCCCCTATTAGTCAACCAGAGGTTTATTAATCCGGGATTAACATTATCATCCTAATTTTGAAATGACACACACACAGACACATCCCAGGGCTTTGGACCAAAACTGGGATCGGTGTGATTTTTTGTCAGGGCCCAAACTGCCACCAACTTTCGATGGGGTCGAGGCTTTCCGTGTTAGGAAGGCTGGGGTTCTCCCTGGTCCTTCCGACACTGGGCGGCGAGTTTGAAGCCCTGGACCAAGTCCTTCGAGTGGGACCTGGACCAACGCAGCCCGGCGAATTGCGCTCATTGCCTCCGGTTTAGTTGTTGCCCCGAATGTGTAGGAGAAGGCTTCCCGTCCGTTCTGGGGGTCAGCATGTGTTTGAGAGATGCGTCGCTGCGTCCGCGAGAATTCGAGCGCACAACAAGCGGTGGCCAGGGAAGGCTGGGAATGTGCGATTTGTGTGTGTGTGTGACTTGCAACGCAACATGTTGGGCTTACGGCCATCGTTTGCCCCACGCTGTATAAGCGTTTTTGCCACCGCCGCTTGCAATGCTCAAGCAAGGGCAAGGGCCGGTGCCATATTTACCTCGTGCCATGTTTACCTTGTGCCATGTTTACCTCGCCTGAATCCAAGCGCAAGTTCCAGAACCAATTCAAGTCAAGGGCTCCCTTAAACGTGCACGCTACCATTTGGCCTCACACGGGTTCACTTGTTTCCGGGTTCCCTTGAATGTGCACGCTACCATTTGGCCTCACACGGGTTCACTTGTTTCCGGGTTCCCTTGAACGTGCACGCTACCATTTGGCCTCACACGGGTTCACTTGTTTCCGGGTTCCCTTGAACGTGCACGCTACCATTTGGCCTCACACGGGTTCACTTGTTTCCGGGTTCCCTTGAACGTGCACGCTACCATTTGGCCTCACACGGGTTCACTTGTTTCCGGGTTCCCTTGAACGTGCACGCTACCATTTGGCCTCACACGGGTTCACTTGTTTCCGGGTTCCCTTGAACGTGCACGCTACCATTTGGCCTCACACGGGTTCAACTTGTTTCCGGGTTCCCTTGAACGTGCACGCTACCATTTGGCCTCACACGGGTTCACTTGTTTCCGGGTTCCCTTGAACGTGCACGCTACCATTTGGCCTCACACGGGTTGCACGCTACCGTTTTTCCTTGGGTTCCCTTGAACGTGCACGCTACCATTTGGCCTCACACGGGTTCACTTGTTTCCGGGTTCCCTTGAACGTGCACCGCCTACACGGGTTCACTTGGTTTCATTGAACGTGCCGGGTTCCCTTGAACGTGCACGCTACCATTTGGCCTCACACGGGTTCACTTGTTTCCGGGTTCCCTTGAACGTGCACGCTACCATTGGGCCTCACACGAATTCACTTGTTTCCGGGTTCCCTTGCACGTGCACGCTACCATTTGGCCTCACACGGGTTCACTTGTTTCCGGGTTCCCTTGAACGTGCACGCTACCATTTGGCCTCACACGGGTTCACTTGTTTACGGGTCCCCTTGAACGTGCACGCTACCATTTGGCCTCACACGGGTTCACTTGTTTCCGGGTGCACTTGTGTCCACGAGGGCGCCCATTGAAAACGTGGGGCAAACGATGGCCGTAGGGCCAACATGTTGTGCTCGTTGCGCGTGTGCGCAAGTTGTAGCTTGTGCGAGCTGCGTGCCATTTCGCGGTTCATTTGCGCAGCACAGTGCCTTTGCAAATGCTGCATGGGCCGGCTTTGCACGTTGAGTGAGCCTAAGTTCCTGCCAAGCGGATCACCGAGCGACCCAAAATGAAAGAGCTTATTATGGCCAGAACCAAAGACACCATATTTTGGAAATTACACTTTTGACAAGTAGGTCTTCCACCCAGATAACATATTTGGGCCTGAGGGGGCCCAATCCACCCGTGTCATAGACAGACAAGCAGACAGACGTAATAGGCAGATAGGAGAGATAGGTAGGTAGATAGATCGACAGAGGGACAGCTCGATAGGTAGAGATAGATAGATGAACGAGAGCTAGATAGCTGAGAAAAGTCGAGAGATTGGATAGTGATTGACTCATAGACAGACAGAGAGATAGATAGAAGATGGGAACAGATTAGGCTAGACTAGGTTAGATTGGACTAGCTTGGATCAGACACACGGATTAGATAGATAGAAAATAGATAGGCAACTTGACAGAGATATTGAGAGAAAGAGAGATAGATAGGTAGATTGATACAGATAGAGAGAAGAACAGGCAGGTAGGCAGGCAGATAGAGGGGTAGAAAAAATGTAGATAGAAACAGCCAGGTAGGTCGGTAGATAAACCATATAGATAATATCGACAGATGAGAGAGATGAATAGATAGACAGAAAGACGGGTAGGTAGGGAGGTAGGCAGATGGTAAGCTGGATAGACTAGATAGATGTTATTTTGTTTCATTTGATTGGATTCGATATGGGGTTAGATTAGATAGCTAGGAACACATAGGCCAACGGTTAAATTATTAGATAGGAGAGGTAAGGTAGACAGATAGACAGATGGATGGGTTAGATTGTGTCACACAAAATCAGATGGTACCAGAGCGGAACAGACGGATGGAGATAGGCAGACAAATAGATGCGCAGATAGATGCATTGATGAATACGAGCAGATGGATCCAATAGGTCAACAGGCACGCGCATGGATAGGCAGGGGCACGTTCAACAGTATCTTGTGGCAATTTTTCCGAATTCGGGTTCGTGGCTTCTATCAGGTTTTTGTTGGGGTGCCTGAGCCGAAAGATGTGGATTCTCAAAACAACAACAGAAAACGTTGGGGTTATGGTGGGCACTCGGAGTTCATTCTGCAGCCTATTTGTTTAGAGCCTGGCTTTTCGGCGGGGTTGAGTCTGAGTCCACAACAGAGCCTCAAAGCGCACGTCTCCCGCATCTTTGCGTTAAGCACCTTCTGCTGCTTTTGGGCGAGTTCCTTGTTAAACCCTTTGTTGCTTGTGTTGGAGGGTGTTGCTTTTTTGGAAGGTTTCCCCTTACTCAAGCGCGCCAGCCACAAAGGAACCTCCGTTCTTCCGCGTGGTTCCTGCCTTGTTGCCAAGGCAGGGTGAAGGCTACCACGGACCACTTCCGATTCGACCGGTGCGCCTCCAGCGCCGAAACCAGCGCGTCGGAGCGGGAGAAGGTCGGGCGCAGGGCTGGTTCTACTTGCCAAAAAAGGGCACTACGAAAAGAGCTTGGGTGATTTCTTTTGCTCCAGACCCTGTTTGACACCATCTTCCGTGATACCAGAACTTCTTCCTCTTGAGTAATCGTCTTGGTTTGCCTTTACCACAAAAGGACTAAATAGCCCACCCCTTCTGTTCAAGCAGCTGCAGCCCAAGAAAACCACTTTTCTTTCACGCAATCCCGAACGCGTTGTTTCGTCCCGCTGTAGGCACTGCATGCATGTGTTTTTGAAAGGTTGCGCAACTGCGTTTCGTGCCATTGCGAGTTGCGCTTCAGGGGTTGTCGTTGGTCTTGCTTGGAATGCGCGCGCAAGCGTTTGCTCGAGTGTCACATTCGTCGGCCCTGTCGCACAATCCGCTCATTTTAGGCTTAAAGTTGGTCAACATCGGTCGGAGTCCCGTGCCAGTTTTGGATACGTTGAATGTTGTGGCAGGTGCCCTTCCTCCGTGCGCGGAGTGTGAAGCATTTTTCGCTTCTGTCGAGGCATGTCTTTGGGAAGACGATGTCAAACGTGTCTTCGGGAGATGTCTTTGCGAATTGGGTATGGCATTTGGCTGTGGGTGTCTTTGCTTTTTGGGCTTTTCTTTGGTCTGCGCAGTTGTTTTGGGTGATGTCTTTGTGGGCGACTTTTGGGATGCGGCTGGAAGGTATCTTTAGGGCACGTTTGCGGGACCATCTTCGCGTTGTCTCGAGTCATGTTCTGGGGATATGTTTTTGGAAGCTGACTTGGGGGGATATGTCTTAGGGTGTTCGAGATGTTTTGGAGCTTGCTTTTGGGGAGGATGACTTGCGGGTGTTTCGGGAATATCTTTACGGGGAGTCTTCGGGGGGTGTGTTGTTGAGGACCTCTTCAAGTGTCTTGGGTTATGTCTTTGGAAGATGAACATTTTGAGATGTCTTTAGGGGGACGCGGTGGGCGATGTCTTTGGTAATGACTTTGATGTGTTGGGGGCATTTTTATGCGGCGGGCGCCACGCTCCGTGTCACGAAAAGATCGCAGCAACACCTGCAGTTGCAAATGCCGCCTTTGGGTCCCTTCTCCCTTGACCGAGAGCAAAACTGCTGAAAGTTGCAGGTATGTTTGGCGGTAGGGGTGGGCGGGCGGGGCCCCCCCTTGCAGACATTGCGTGCAGCCCAAGTGTTTCCGAGTCCTTGTGGCAAGCGGGCGAAAGATGTGCATCAACCCAAAGTGAGATAGCGCGGACATGGGAACCGTTGCCAAACATAGGGGTGCTGACTTTGCAAGCAAGCCCTCAAACATTGATTATTTCCTAGCATCGTTTGTGTTACGGCGTTGTATTTTTGCAGACGACAATGGTTGCGACAATCCGACAAACCGGCCATCCAGTTTAAATTCCTCGAGGAGAAGTCGGCGCACCCTTTGCAAGCCAGCTGCCGTGTTGCACGTTCTGCGGCGGTTTCTTTGCGCCAGTGTAAAGTTTGAAAACGTACTGTATGCTGAGTTCCTTTGACAACTTCTGAGCGCGCGCCTTCGCAGCTTGCCTCACCTTCGGTGATGACGGGCGTAATGTTTCTGAGTCCATGCTGCCATGTTGCAGACCCTGGCAAAAAAGCAAAGCGTTGGTGACGGAGCGAGCTCTAGAAAAGCGCTGCTAGCGACAACTGCGAGCCGTCGCTGGCAAGCGTCACGACCGCAAGCACGCAGCCAACAGTTGCGCAAGCTCGCGCGTCCACCCCGCGTGTCTGTTGGGCGCAGCGGGCGCGAAAACAGCCTGACGCGGGAAAAAGTCAAAGCAGCGGACAGCTGCGACTGTTCCTCGGGCACAAGCTCTGTTTCGGGCACGCGTTGCGGCCCGCTGGCATTTCCCGCAACCCCATTCTACGTTACCTCCCGGGGAAAGGGAGGGGGGTGGCCTGCGTGGGTGTTCTCAAAAAGGGGGGCGGGAGTGCGTTTCCTCGTCCAAGAAGAGGCTTTTCGGATTTTGAGACAGGCATGTCACTGAGAGGTTTGCGACGTGCCACGTCACCCATGATGAAGGTGTCTTGCGCAGGGATCCCGTTTTGTTGGTTGGCAACTTGCAATAAGCTGCCAAAGGAGAGGTGATGCGTAAACCAGGACAAGGGCGAGGACGCCTATGACATCGCCTACCTCCTGCCCTTCCTGGTAGGCCAGCTTCGGTTGACCTACCAGGAGAGCCGCTGCCTGAATGGGCTGTGGGCTGCCCTGTCATTTCTTTTGGGGGGGTGCCATTACAATCGGCAACCCAAAAACCGGAGCCCCAAAATGGCCATCACAGGTCTAGGTTGTTATGCGATGTTTGATTTTGGGTTGGCACCCTTTTGGGGTTTGAAGGGCGACCAAAGAAAGAAACAGCGTCATGTTTTTTTTGGGGGGCCAGTTTGATTGGAGGGCCCCCCAAGTGAGAGAAAGCCGCCACTTAGGGTCCAAATCCAACATTCACCCTTTTGGCCATACATTCCCCATTCCCAGGGATCCTTTCAGACAAGCGGAGAAACTTCTCAAGGAAAGTCGGTCTGAGAAGCCCGCTAAGTGAACCCCACGGATGGGTGATACCACTTAGTAGAACGCACCCCCACCCATCCATGGTTCCAACTGAACTGCTTGTTTGAGCCACAATCCAAACCCGGGCAGATGAATGGTAAGGGATAGTCCCAGCCGTCAATGCGTGCACCCGCCTGGTGAAATACATGGTTCTGGATTGCGACCATGTTAATACTGCTCGGCGTTGATTATGACGACGTCGGTTGAACACCCAAGGGTGGAAACCGGAGACGACTTGGGGAATCCAACCTACACCCCATGTAGCAAAATGGGAATCGGTACCGATTTCGGTGTGTCTTTGGTTTCCCTTCAGCCCCACAAAGGCCCAGCTTCACACAGGTTTTTCCACGAGTTCCCCGCAGGCTTCTCCATTTCCAACAGGTTTCCCATTGGCTTCGTGCGACCTTTCGCCACAAAAAAGGCGCCTCTCAACTGAAACACCACTTGACCGGGATTTTCTTTTGGATACCCATGGTGGGCTTCAAGAAACGGCCATACTCAAACCACCATTTTCAGGGAGGGTTTCCTTCGGAAGACTCCCCTCGACTCGGGCGCCGAGCTCGGCCTAGGCGATGGCTGGGGATCGCAGGCCTTGGGCGCCACGCTGGGCGCGGTGTGCCTTGGGGGGGCGGTGGAGATTTTGCTGCTGGCCACCGCCTGCCGCTCGGAGATGGAACGGCACGGGGCCAGGAGCTCGTTGTTTTGCTTTGTTCCTTTTTTTCATGCAACAGCTGAAAGGAGTTTGTTTTTTGGTTTTCATCCAACAGCTGAAAGGATTTGTTTTTTGGTTTTCATCCGCCAGCTGAAAGGAGTTTGTTTTTTTCATCCAACAACTGAAAGCTATGGGGTCTCTGCCCAAATCATTGCGGGTCAGAATTAAGCAACCAGGATGTGGACCGCAGGTTTTAGGCCGTTTGCATTTACGGATCCTTTTTTTTACCCACAGAGGAGGGTTCCGGAGGGTTCCAGGCGGTTCGAGGGTTGCTGTTGGGATGCCACTTGGGCATATTTGTTGCCCTGGGTTCTTGTCATTTTTTGGGCTTCTGACCCAAGATGGGTTGGTTCCTTTTGGTTTTCTGCCGGGATCTGGGGAGGGCGGCTTGCGGTTTTCTTGTTTGGTTTAAACCTGAGTCCATTGCGCGGGGGGCCTGAGCGGTAAATGAGCGTCAACAAGACCTGAATACTTGAAGCTTCGTAGCTCCCAAGTATACATGTTGTGGTGCAGCCTGTCTATTGTTGCTTCATCATGAGTTTTAGGTAAACTTCTTGCACGCGGGGTTTTGATTGTGGCACGAACGTGGGGTTGTTCAAGTTCCTGACCCCCCCCCCCCCCAAATGATGGGTAACTTGTCCCATGTAGTGGGAAGTCTTTGTTGTGTGGGTTTTCCCTATGTTTCCCTCATGGTCATCCCATGTGAATCATCTGTTGATCCACCCCAAAATGGGAAGCAGCCTCACCGAGGCAGCGATCCTACGCTGCGCGCCTGCGCCTTTGAGGCGCGTTGTTTGGCAGGAGGAATGGATAGAACGAGCGGACAAGAAGCTTGTTTGTTGCTTGTTTGTTTGCTTGCTTGTTTGTTTGCTTGCTTGCTTGCTTGTTTGTTTGTGTGTTTGTTTGTTTGTTTTCCTTCCTTTTTTAAACAAAAAAGAGAGTACATGTTTTGTGTTTAATTTGTGTTTGTTTGCTTGCTTGCTTGCTTGCTTGCTTGCTTGCTTGCTTGCTTGCTTGCTTGCTTGCTTGCTTGCTTGCTTGCTTGCTTGCTTGCTTGTTTTTGTCTTTTCCTTTTCGTTTAAATAAATGTGCTGTGTTTAATTTGTGTTTGATTGTTTTTTGTTTGACTGAATGATTGTTTGATTGTTTGTTTGTTTGTTTGTTTGTGTGTGTCTTGTCTTTCTTTAAGAAATGGTTTGTGTTTAGTGTGTGTTTGTTTGCTTGTTTTATTTGTGTGTTTGTTTGTTTGTTTGTTTGTTTGTTTGATTGATTGTTTATGTTGTTTGTTTGTTTGTTTGTTTGTTTCTTTGTTTGTTTGTTTGTTTGTTTGTTTGTGTGTTTGATTCTTTGACTGTTAGTTTGTTTGTTTGTTTGATTGTTTTTTTTGTTGTTTTTTTGTTTTTGTTTTTTCTGTGTGTGTGTGTGTGTTTGTTTGTTTGTTTGTTTGTTTGTTTGTTTGCTTGTTTGTTTGATTGTGTGTTAGCTTGCTTGTTTGTTTGCTTGTTTGTTTGCTTGTTTGTTTGTTTGTTTGTTTGCTTGCTTGCATGCTTGCTTGCTTGTTTGTTTGTTTGTTTGTTTGTTTGTTTTTTTTGTTTGTTTGTTTGTTTGTTTGATTGTTTGTTTGTTTGGTTGCTTGCTTGTTTGTTTGTTGGTTTGGTTTGGTTTGGTTTGGTTTGTTTGTTTGTTTGTTTTGTTGTGTCTGTGTTTTTTTAGGGGACCCCAAAATGGTGGTCTTCCTTCTGATTTCTTTTTAACTCCATCCAAAAAAGGGTACTCTCAAAACAAGACACCCAAATGGGTCTGCCTTTTGCTGACAAAGGTATCAAAGGGCCACGGGCCCCTGCTTCCCAAATAGAACCCTGAGCCCCAGACACGGGGAAAAAACAAAAAACTATCCCCGACTTGATATTACAGACGTGGAAACCGTTGTGATTTTCAATGTGGCGCAGGTGTTTTTGGGGAATTCCAACTATTCCGCATAGGCGTGTTGGCATTATGTTGTCTTTTGTTCATGAAGCGCGCGATCCAACTCGTTTGACATATGCTCAAATGCTGATTGTTGTCAAGCTGAAGTGACCGAAAGTCACCAACTGTTCAACTTGGCGGGTTGCGGCGCACAGCGTAAGGCTGAAGACGCCATCATCGGTGGATCTTCTCGACGGGTTAAATCTTCCAGCCCCAAATGCGCCCAGTCGGCCATCTCGACGCCAACTGAAGGTTTTGAGGCAAACCTGCAGGTGGACTAACAGCCGGAAGCTCCCCCAATTGGCCTTTGGAACTTCAAGTTTCTTCCATTTCGGGGTCGGAGCTTCCATGGAATCGTTTGGGGGAGTGTACCATTTTCTTGTGCCCTTGGGGTATAATGGGTTTTGAATAGGCAAAGACTTGCAGTCCTGCCCCCAAGATCCCATGGGGCGTCCATCCAGAAAGTTTTCAGGGCTCTTCAAAAACGCCCCCCCCCCCCCGGAATGTGTGGGTGTGAATCTTAGTGAGGGGACTCTTCGGTGGACACCATGTTTTGTCATGTTTGAAACCAATGATGGTTGAACGGTCATGGCAGGCTCTCTCAATCGTCCTGGCGGTGGCGAACCTATGGAACGTCACCATTGTCGAGACAGAGGAGGCCTAGCTGGCACCGTTTAAAGGCGAAGTACACATGAGCAACACTCAGCAGCAAAAGGGAGTTTGTTTAAAGCTTAAAGGGCTGTTCTCTGAGCTGTGGGATTACACTTAAAGGACTTGCTGGATGGTCTGAGATCTGCAGAGTTTGTCCTCCATGTTCGTGGCCGCGTTTTGTTGGCATGGTTCCTTTGTTTGGAAAGTATTTTGGAACTTCACCTCCAGAACGCACAAAGCCATTGGCCTTTTTGGACACCGGTGAGACATGAGCGACATTCAAAACCCGGGTAAGTGAAGGCTAGTAAGGGACAGTCCCAACCAGACTTAGGTGCGGCAGTGCAATTATTTACTTTGGTTTGGGTAGACCATTGTTTTACTAGGTTTTGATTGTGACTCGCATGGTCTTTCTGTTGTTGATGAGTCACCTTAATAGGTTTACTTTGAAACCAGCGGTCAACACATGCCCTGCTTTGTTTCTTCATAGGTGTTCCGTAGGTTTCCCTGCAAGAACCCAAACATAGGTTTGTATACCCTCTAGACGCAACCATCCAACCGTTGTTTCACGGGGAACTATAGAAATATACATAGTTGTATGTATATATATATATATGGTCAGGTCCCATATATATATATATATATAAGCGACCGCGTATATGTTCGAAAACATACAGTAAAGGCTTGGCAGAAGCATGTCTTGGGCAACACACTGAAGGAGGTTCAAAACGAGGCAGGAATCCCAAAACGAGATAGGGCCATGACGACATGTAGCTGTGTTGAGATCACAAACACATGTGGAATTAGAAAACGAGGTCAATGAGTCCAAACGGGTGCAGGGTTGGAGAACGAGCAGGGTGTTGCACCTGACCATTCAAACGCATGTAGAAATAACTTGGAGGTGGGATATGAATATATATATATATATGTGACCATATAGCTCACCCCCCCCCCCCCAAGATCCACGCCTGCTGTGTGTGAGACTTGTGTGATGCACGCACGCAGTTTTCGGCCCTTTGTATTGTACCTCATTTGTAAAGAAGATGCCAATGGAGCTCATTAAGGAGATAAAAGCCATGGCTGAAGAGGTCGGTCCTGCTTCTCCTCAAGCACCCAATGCTTGGCCAGAGAAGATCGGGACCCTGCAGGATGGCCTCTTGGCCTGATATGGCAGATATTTTGTCACTTCTGGCGTTTCTTTGTGTCATCAATGCATTACAAAAATGTGTCTTCTGCTATGGCTCACCATATGCCGGCCCAGGCTGTGAAGTCTCCCGGTTTGAGGGGCAGCTATTCAAGGTCATTGAGACCGGCGAGGTGCTTTTGACACCTGAGGAGGTGTTGTATATAGCCGGTGTCTCTAACTACTAGGGCACGCACGTGGCGCGAAAAGGGGCGAGATAGCATTTGTGCACCCCAGCTTGGGCCGGGAGTATGGACTCAACTCAGGCAGTTCTCACATACATCGATGCAAGATTCAACCATTCTATCCATTTGTCTGTACATTTGTCAAACCTCATGCAATCCATCTGCACATCTGTTTGCCAGCCTGTGCCTGTATATCTGCATCTTCTGCTAGCCAATTTTGATGGAAATGAAGCTGGCGATCAAGCATCCTCAGATGGTTCGCAACAGTGGGAAGGTGGTTTCAGAGCTCGGTGGGCCAGGAAGCGAAAATCCATTGGCGAGGCAGACGAGGGCATTCATGTTCTCTCTGAAAACTGTTCTTTTCATGATGAGCAACTGGACGGCACGCAGTCAGTTGATGAGGTGTCCCTTCAACCTGCTGTTTCAGGGCCAGTCCTTGCTGGAGCAAATGCGGATATGCTGGAGCAACATCTGGCAAACACGACCGTGGACAGGTTTCATCGCAAGATGCCCTGGGAAGCTTCGCCGTTCGACATGATCTTCGGGGAGGCTTTTGGCCCTTCAGGTTCGAATGATTTGACATTCCGTACCCCTCATGGCGTGTTCAGGGATTTCGGGCCTCAACGTGTCGTTTCCACAGCTGTGCAACATGCTTCATTGGCTCGGTCTGATTGCATTTATACATCTGCAGTTACCTGTGCCACGGATTCCAATGTGAAGGAATCAGAGGCGAAGCGGCATGAGCAGGCTGCACGTAAGATGTGCATTGTGCTACTGCAGTGTGGACCTCATTCCAACTTGCCGGATTTTCACCGCGATGGTGTTGGTAGTGCAACCGAAATGGACTTGTTGTCTGAAACGGTAGCTGCATCGCTTGGCTTGAAAGCTTCACTGACGGTCCTGAAACGTGCAGGCTCGATTTTGCAATTCTTCCACTGGCATGGACAGGCTTACGATCACCCTGCTGTGCCTCTCAGGGAGGCCGATGTATGCAATTATTTGAGGTGGCTTCGGCAAACTGGTGCGGCGCCTACGCGAGCTGCTGGTTTTGTTTCTGCTTTGAGGTTTCTGCATTTCATGTTTGCAGTGGAGGGGTGCAGTACATGTATTGTCAGCAAGCGCATCTGCGGTTTGGCCGATCAGCTATATGTCGAGAAACAGCCCCTCAAGCAAGCGCGGGTGCTCAGAGTGTCTGAAGTTGTGCAACTCCACAGGGCTTGTGAAGACGACCTTGCTGACAAATATGACAGGGCAATCATTGCTGTGATACTCATTGCATTGTATGGAAGATGCAGACACTCGGATTTGGCTTTCGCTGCAAGGGTGGAACAGGATCTGTTCGGTAGAGACCCTTTTCTTGAGCTGAACGTGTTGAAGCACAAGACTGCCAGGTCCGCTGTTACAAAGAGCCAGCTGCTGCCAACTGTTTGTCCAGGACGTGGGATCCATGGCCGTTGTTGGATTACTGCAGCGGACAAGGCGCTTCGTGCTGCCGGACGTCATCTTCAAGGAGATGCGCAGGGGCCTCTGGTTTGCGCACCTTCTGTGAAAGTTGGAGGCGCCCCTTGTGTGAGGGGCCTGCTGTCAAAAGAGATCACGTCTTTTCTGAGGACGTTCTTTCGCAATGAGCCAGATGCATGTGCATTGTCGTCACTGTCACACTCGCTCAAGGCTACCGCATTGTCATGGGCTGCAAAATACGGGCTGTCGAAGGAAGCAAGGAGCATCCTTGGGCGGCATGCCTGTGCCACGTTGGAGGCCCATGCGATCTATGCCAGGGACCTGAGCTTTGACCCTGTTTCTAAGTTGCAGCGTGTCATCGATAAGATTTCCAAAGGTACATTTTCGCCTGACTCCAACAGGTCTCGTGGGGATGTCGGCAACCGTGGGGCTGAAGGCTCTCCAATGTCCGAGGCTGCGTCTGAACAGCTCAGTGGTGTTGAGGGGAGTTCTGATTCCTCCAGCTCGTCAGGTGAGACTGATTTCGACGATGAGCACGCGAATGATATCCATCTGGAGCCAAGGGGCGGTGCTCCAAGAGCTTTGTGTCGCTTCCGCGGCCCCACGGAGGTGTGGATGATGCACACAAACAGTGGTACTGTGCACAATGTTGTCTCTGACGGCCTTTTGTTCAAATGTGGCAGACGCGTTGCGAAATCATATGCCGAATGTGATAGAGCCGATAGGTGGCAGAGCCTGTGCAGAATGTGCTTCCCGCGGCCATCCTGATGGCAGAAACCAATTCAGGCTCGCCGTGTCGGTGTGCAAACAAGCGCTCGCTCTCCATGTCCGTATTCATGTTTTCATGTCACTGTGTCAGTGATTGTGGATGGGGTTGCGGTTTTGTCCTTCGACATTGCATGTGTCATGCAGTGAAGGGTATGTGTGGCAAGTGTCTTGCGTACACGATGGTTCGCATTGTGCATCATCCAGATGTGAGTGGCTCAGATGGCGCCGAGTCAGTAACTGCATGGACGCCCCCTTGTCCCTGGTTTGCCCTTCTACTGTTTCACCTGTAAAGTTCCAGCAGTGCGTTGACAGACATGTTTGTGCATGATCGGGTTAGCACGCTTTAGCTTTGAATCCTTGCCATGGTTTCTTTGCTTGAAAGCACGGCCCATTTCAAGCAACGTGCGCTTGAGATTGGGTTAGGTGATGAGGCATGGGCCGCCCTGAAGGACAAAAATCTGAATGCTTTCGGAACTCTTGGCTTTGCATTTGGTCAGCCGGGCCAGCCAATACAGGATGAGGCTTTTGAACGATGGGCAGTTGCAACCATTCGTGCAAACCGCCCGGTTGCGGAAATTGCGGTTGCGGTATTGAAGCGACTTGTTTTCACGGCACATACCATGGTGCTGGCTCATTTGAAAGATGCTGTCACTTCTCCTGATGGAGCAGTCCCCAAAAAGATTCCTTTTGCAGAGATGGAGGACAGAATGGCTGCACTGAAAAAGGCTTTGCCGGGTTTGACCATCGAGAAGCATCTGGTCCCTTCCCATTCTCTTCTTGAGAATGCGATCTTTGAGAAGAGGATTTTGGAATACTTGCCTCCGGAGCGTTGCTACTCTCGTGAATGGGAATTGATGCACAACAAACCTCAGAAGTCTTTGGAGCTGGATGTTGGCAAGATGGTCATCAAGGAGTGAGCTTGTTGATGTACCCGACCAGAGCGGTACTGAGCTTCAGGTATACGATGCACTGCGTCGACGTGGGTTGGCGCTTCAATTCGCCGACATTTGCACGTATATCACGCATGACAGATCTTACCGAGCTTTTCGGACACTTGCATCGTGTCCCTCCGCCTGGCTATGCCCGCTGCACATTGGCTCAGATGCTCCGTGCCGACCGTGCAGTTTTTCAGCACCTTGTTGACAACGGTGTGCGAGTCGGGAGGCTTCCTGATGGAACTCAGGAAATCGATGGCAAACTGATCAAGGCGCTGCATTCATATGACGTGTCATTTTGCTTGATGCCGTTGCCTGAAATTGCCAACAAGGCGCCTGCGTCGACGGAGTCTACAAAGCCGAATCGCAATCAGACCCGGCCTAGCCCTTATCAGTCAGACAAGGGCAAAGGCAAATCGAAGAAGGGCAAAGGCAAGCGCGGAAGTGCCTCATCAGTTGCATTCCTCCCGGCGGAGTT